AGTATTATACATGTTATTAAAAATAAAATTAAAATAAAAAATTATTTAAACAGATGTTATAACAGTAGTTTCAATTTAAAAAGTATCTATTTTTTATCTATTCATTAAATAATATCTAATTGCATACATGTAGTCATCGACTATCGTTAATAGAAAAAAAAACGAAATTAGGGCCATATTATGTAGAATATCATGGGCTCATCAAAATTGTCTCTTATGAGCTTTGACGAAAATTCATGTTATGTAGAGTGTCACACAAATTGTAATAATTTTCTTCTAAAAGACACAAATGGTGGCATTTATTACTGAACAACACTGCTTTGGCTAAGAAAAGACACATAGATAGCCTCGGCTTTCATAGCCAAATTTAAACCGATATATTGTTTCTTCTCTCATTCTCAATTTTATAATTTGCATTAAAAACAACAATAATTTAAATTTTGACGACCCCATGACACTCTGCATAACATAACCCTTAAACCAAATATACACATAGCCATAGTAGAAAATCCTGGTACTAATCAACTCCTGAGAGATATACAAAGCTACCTTATTGTCTATCAGGCTTAAAGTTTCTTTATAATCGAATAATCGTCTTTGCTTCAACTTGAAATGCAGGACACCATAAAATACGTTTCAATGAAATTGTCAACAATATATTCTGATAAGTAAAAATATATACATATTATACGTACTTATGTTTGAATAATATATATTTAATTTTAGACACAGGAATGTGGCACCACTGTATTGTTTTTATATGATCGCTAATATTTGAATTCTAATATACAAACAGAGAGGAAGAGACATATTGTGAGTGTTAAAAAATGTAATATCTTCAGCTATTAATAACCTAACAATATCAATACTTAATACTTTTAAATCATAAAAAGGACCATAGAATAGCTAACGTAACTGATTTTGAGTGCCTTTAACAACACATTTTATCAAGATTGGTGACAGCGTGCTATGAAAAACTGAATGTCGTTCGCCAAAAGAATCAAATATGGAACATATGAGTTCCGAATCGCTACTGGTAGGTCCAGAACCGTTCTGTGGATTGAAAAGAGCTTATTTCTTTTCACACATACAGAAAAAAGAGGAGAAAAAAAAAGACATCTACCAGTGCTATCACAATCGAAATAGCTTATGGAGAATGCAAGTTATAGCGGTTTAAGGATTGTGTGTAACGAAGTAAAAATAGTTTAAAAAGCATTAGGAATTTTTAAAGGGCACTATAGGTCAAATTATCACTTAAATATCTTTAAAAACCATTAAAGTAAAAATGAAATATATAATAAAAAATCATCCACAAAATTTTCTTTTATTAAAGCCACATTGAAACTGTTAACGTCACTTACTAAAGCAAATCAACTTATATTTCAAAAGTGTCATGATGTACATAAATTGTTCAATAATATTATTATTATTAATAATCATTATTAATTATTATTATATGATAATTATTATTACATTAATAATAAAATAATATTATTAATAATAATATTATTATTAATACTTATTATTTTTGTTTTCGTATCAATATAAGTAATTTTGTGCGTTTTCAATATACTGAGGAAAATCCTCACGCTTGTTAAACATTTTTATGAACAATTAAAATTAAAATTTATTATTTAAATTATTTTATTTAAATTTAAAATATTATTTTCGTTATATATATAAAACAAAATTAACTACTCCTAAATCTATATTCTATTCTTAAACACTATACACTTATTGAATCCCTAATTTGTATTTCATTTTATTTTACACAAAAAAAAGCATTATATTTAAGAAAGGACTAGGTTTTAACGTTATAAAGGGACACGGTACGACCAATTGGCGACAGCAAGCTACTAATTAAATTATCTGGTGGTGGTCTCTGGTCGCGACCAAGGACGGCTTACATCTTAAAAAGCCAACAACAACCACAACATGGAAATTATTCAATCAAAAATTATATACAATAATTATAAAATAAAATAAAAATTATAAAATAATATTTATGAATTAATGTTTCAACCTTACCTTATTATTGCTGCAATAATATATATCCGACATATTTGTAGATTTCGAAATTATTTAATTATAATCCAAAAATATGAAATATTTTTATTTAGTTAAAATAAAATTTATATCGGTATTATTTTGGCAATATATCAAATTAAAAAACAATACACATTATATTAAACTTTTTATTACTTGATTTAAACACGTATTGAGTTTAAAAAAAAATTTTTTGAAATGCACTTTAAGACGACATAAATTCACTTTAAATTTCGTTTTAATTCCGCTGATTCCGTCTTCTGGTAACGCCACAGTAACTGTCACACGCTACAAAATTTTCGAAATGCACTACCAGAAAATATTTTTGTATATTCACAAATATTTTTTTAATTGCATTTAAAATTTTTTATTTATTATTTGTTACTTTTTATAGCCAAATTGTTTGGTTGACGTTTTAATGACTTACAGAACTTATTGCTTTTTTACTTTTTTAATTTATTGTTTGCATTACTTTGTTGGTTGGATGCACATATTACTTTGTCTCACATTACACATTTTTAAAACAAAATCGTTTATAAACGGAGCAAAAAGAATAAATGAAAAATATTTTTTTAAAATAAAATGATTTTACGCGCTAAAACTGTAATGCAATTTGGATAAAAAAATACAACTTGCGGCAATTGCTCATATTTCTATTAAAAAAAAAAACACACCACCGACTGACACTAAAGCTCACAACGAACTGAATTGGCATTTAGTCAAACTTCAACCAACGAGCCATGGCTTAAAGCAAAGCGGCGAGTTGCAATATTGATTACAAACATTGCAGAAGTTCAGTTTCTTACATTTTCTCCAACTTATAAAATCTCTCTCCGTTGCTTGATGATTTAAAAAGTCCATACGCGCACTTCTTCAAATTCAGTTTGAGAGAGTAACTCTTATTTTGTTTATTCTCTTATACAAAAACACTATAGCAAAAATACTAAATACTATAGAAGATAACATTGCTTCAGTTTAAGCAAAAATAATATATTATTTTTGATTTAAGCAAAAATTATAAATAATGCTATAAGATGTTGCAAGTCGCTTTTATATTTTATGAGCTTTTATGTATCAAGAGGTTCGCAACAGCAATTTGCTTTAACAAATCAACACAATCCACACTTTCTTGATGCCATATATTTTTTTATTATGTTATTAACAGAAAAGAAAACAATTCTGTTAAAGCAAATAAGAACAGAACATTCATTTAAAATTGTTGTTTTTATGGCGGTTTTCATAGGCAAAGGAAATTGTTGCTAATCTTTCTGCTTTAAGCAGATAACTTTTTGTAAAAATTGATCATTTTTAATTTTTGATTTAAGGCAAGCTTATGTTAAGTACAAATCGACTTAAAAATACCCAGTAGGAAAATTTAGCAGCAATTGCAAATCATTTAAAATAATTAACTTTAATATATAACTTATACAAAAACTTTTTTGTTTATCATTTTTAATACATTTAAATTATTTTTAAAATATGTATTATTTGAACAATAGATCAATTAGCCCGTTTCAAAAATAAAAATATTATATAAAAATGTTGGTCATTAAAACAATAAATTATAAATACTTTTTTGTAAATTTTTAACAAAAGAACTGTTTTTTAGTTTTATATTTATATATGTTTTATATATTGATTTAATATATGAACTTATAAATTTAAGTAAAAAAAGTTGTATATGTATGTATATAAAATAAGAAAAATAATAAAAACGGACAGGCTTGTTTATTTAAAAGTTTTCAAAAAGCCTTTAAATAACAAAAATCAAATTGTTATAAAATTAAATTCACACGATCAAGTAATTTATTTTCATTATATATGATTTGTTTTAATCAATAAATTATTATAAAATCAATTATTTTATTTGTAAATACTTTTTTAGCACAAAATTTATTTTAGAATTCAACTGAAACGTTCGGCTCAAGCTCAAATCCATAACTGGTTGTTTACGCAGCATTAAATGATTTTAGAAAAAAAAAACACAGCATTGAATGATTTTAGAAAAAATAAAATAGCGGCATTTTGTTTACTCCGTTTCTTAAAAAAACAATATTCAATGCAACGGAAAGTTGCTTATCGTAAAAGTATTTTGTCAACAAAATGTTATCATATTTAATATTAGAATAAAACAATAACAATAAAGGACTTTAGTAATAATTGTAGTTTTTTTTTCTATGCAAGTATATTCAGTTACCGTTTATATATATGCATACATATGTATGCATATTTTAGCTATGAACCTACGATAATTAATTGTGAAGTGGTCTGTAGAACAATAAGGTAGTTTTGAACTTAAATACGCTGAATCTATATATGAGCAAATAAATTCATACTTATATTAGTCTTTAAATGTACAAATATATAATAAATATACTTGTATGACAATTGGAAGATATACGACTGATTTTACTATAGTTTTTATGGAATAGTTTATTAGTTGTGCACTAAATTCATTTATTTTGTTAGACAAAATCCTTCATTTAGTGCTGCTTGATCTCATAATTACACAACATGTGGCAACCTTAGCTTTAAGAATTAAAGCTACTTTAAAGTGGAAGACTAGTGATTATAATCACAATTCCATTGTAACTCCTTTCAGTTCTATTTAGGGATATATTGATTACATTAGTATTCCGATTGATAAAAACAATTGGTTCTACCACCTTTTCTCAAAATTCAACTTGAAGCCAGTTAAACTCATACCTTCATATATAATATGATGATGAACAGTGCACTTTTTCCAATTAAATGGAACTTCAAGTCTTCACACACTTTATGACTATCTATCCAATAACAGGTAATCTTACTATCAAACGCGGAAAGTCAACACTTTCTACAGCAGTTGTTTTAGAGGCGTTAGATCGAAAATTTATGCCTGGATTTATTAATAGGTATTATAATTTTTATTATAAGTATTTATTAAATTAAAACAACTTAATTAGTTTTGATTTTGTATCCGAATAAATAAATTTTTATTTTTTATTCTATTTCGCATACATATTCTTTTGGTCTAAATTCTTTTGGTTTAAGATATACTTTCCATTCAAAATTGCGTACATGAATTTTTTATGTACTCATATGTATATAACTATGTTTAGGAAACTCTATCTAAAACATTTCTCCCATTGGCTTAAGAGTTATTTCATGTATCTATAAGAAAAATTCGGTTTGTAAATATAAAATTTTTTTTAAACATATTTTCTATAAAATTAATACCTGTACATTTGCTGGAGAACGTAATGCATACAAAACAGCATCCGCTATATTTTCCGGTTCCAACCGTGCCATATCCTTAACAAAAAATTGTATTTCTTGTGGAAAAATATTTGTATTTACAGCACCAGGACATATTCCCTAAAAATAGAATATTAAAGAAATATTTTAATTAAAATTTTCATTAAGTACGCAGTTTGATTTAAAAGGATTTTTCATATACCTAGCAATACCTAGAAAATAGAGCTAAACACGAAAAAGCACACAGAAGAATAAAATTATAAACAAAAAAAAGTTAAGAACTAATACAGAATATAATCGGTAAGTTATGTTATCATTTAATTGGCAAAGTTTTTCAAAGGTAGGTGATTCTTTGAGAGTCTATTATCTATTATATAATATTAAAAATATACACACTATTCCATACAATTTTGTCAGTTTAGAACTTAAATTTTATTCCATTTCGTAATTACTTACTTACTTTTGATGTCCTTCTCCCATAGGGTCTTACCAATAAAATACAAATATTAAAACAGGACTAATAGCAATATAAAGATATCATATATAAGAAATGTATAAAGAATCATCATCTCTATTTGGCTTCTAGACATGTCATTTTTGACTGCCTGGTTTTTATCAGCTCCAAAGTTTTGAACTACTGTTCCGAGAACTTCTATTGCAGTCTTATATTACAGCACTTATTACAGTTGTACTTTGTCCACTTCACGAAGAACCTAAGGTCCTATTCTATACTAAACATATCACATATGCACAGATGTATATGTGTATAGAATATTTAACATAAAGTTTCATAGCAAACTTATTTCTAATTTAGGTGTTTAATAGCTTTACCAAAATGATAATATATGTACATGATTATAACTATTAACTCGTAATTAATTTATTTATATGTGTATATCTCTACTTACCGTTATGCGTACTTTGCTTTTATATAATTGAAATTCTTGTCTATAAGTTTCAGTCATGGCGGTAATAGCAAATTTGGTAGCTGGATATATATTGAATGAAGGCAATACATCAATAAAATTGAGAACTTGTTGTCCAGCAATACTATTTATTATTAAAATATGTCCTTCGTCACCAGATTTGTGCATTTGATGAAATGCTTCCCCTTAACAAAACCATTAGTTATAAGATATCTTTATCATTGACTAAATCAATAATGGTATTCACGATTTCGAGTAACGAGATCAATAACACCGTAACAAAGCGATATCAGCAAAATTCATTTACTTGATTATATCGTGAACACCACTAATGCCATTGAATACTTACGCGTACACCACAACACACCCATGACGTTTGTATCAATCACCTCTCGGATTTTCTCAGTATTTCCTAGAGCTACTAATTGTGTTTCACGCGTGATTCCCGCATTATTCAATAAGACACTAGGTGTACCAACATTTTTTTTAATCCATTCAAAAGTTGAAACTACTTCATTTTCCTTAGAAACATCACAACGATGTGGTATAAATCGAGATTGTTGTTCCTTTGGTAAATTTTGCTTAACTTCTTTCAGTTTAGCCTCTCTTCTTGCAAGGCCAACTACACGCAATCCTGCTGCAACTAATGCTCTAGTGCAGGCTGCTCCTATTCCGCTACTTGAACCAGTAACTACAGCCAATTTGTTTTGCCAACGATTCATTGCAAATGAAAACTGAGTGCTTTGACCAAATCGAAAAAACCCAAGTTTTTATGGCTGCTGTCTGTCAGTTTAATGTGTTTTATAGGGCAACGACATTAATTTAATCTATCGATTGTAACTGCACTTGTTCGACTTCCGCCTTTAGTACACACAGTTTTTAATTGGCACTACAAGGTAGTGCACATTATTTAAAATGCAGCGTTGGAAAAACAAAGTAGCTGTTGTGACCGGTGCTAGTAATGGTATAGGAGCAGCTTGTGCTCAAGCGCTTGTGCAAGCTGGACTGACTGTTGTGGGCTTAGCAAGGCGCCAGGATCGTATAATAAATCTAAAAGAAGAACTACCGGAATCAACAAAAAGTAATTTGCATGCCATAAAATGTGATGTTTCAGTTGAAGAAAGTGTTTTGGAGGCCTTTAAAAGTGTTAAGGATAAATTTGGTGGAGTCGATATTTTAATAAATAATGCTGGCATAATTGCTACAACTCAGTTGAGCCAAACTGATAATACCAAAGAAATACGACAAACTGTTGATACTAACATAATGGGTACTGTTTACTGTACTCGCGAATCATTTGAATCAATGAAAGAGCGAAATGCCTCTGGACATGTGATTATAATAAATAGCGTGGCAGGACTTCAAGTACCGAACTTAGGTCCCCAATTACCATCACTTAATATATATCCTGCTACTAAATTTGCACTACGAGCAATGAATGAGATATATAGACAAGAATTTCAACGTGACAATACAAAAGTGCGAATATCCGTAAGTCAATATTATAATACATGTATATTCATATTTATACGTTAACACAATTTTTATGTAGACTATAAGCCCCGGCATAGTGGACACTGATATACTACCACCCAATATACAATCCATAGTTAAAGGCAATTGTCCAATGCTGCGTTCATCCGATGTGGCTGAAACTATGTTATGGATATTAAATACACCTCCGAATGTGCAGGCAAGAAAAAACTTATTTAATTTTAAATATATTATTACCCATAAATATTAAATAATTTTTATAGGTGCAAAATGTAACTATAAAACCCATGGATGAAAAATTTTAAAACAAATCATCGTAATCAATATAGATTTTGGAGTTATGTAAAACGAAATATTTAAACTTCATTTCTAATGGAAGGATTACGCCTTAATTTTTAAAAATCGACAATCGTTAAAATAATTTGATCGTATATGCTTGTATTCATATACATAATCATAATCATATTCATATTTTCATATTCATATTTTCATATTCACATTTTCATATTCGTATTCATATTTTCATATTCACATTCATATTCTTATTGAATATTCTTATTCATATTCCTATTGAATAATCATATTCATATTCATATTCATATTCATATTCATATTCATATTCATATTCATATTCATATTCATATTCATATTCATATTCATATTCATATCATATTCATATTCATATTCATATTCATATTCATATTCATATTCATATTCATATTCATATTCATATTCATATTCATATTCATATTCATATTCATATTCTATTCATATTCATATTCATATTCATATTCATATTCATATTCACATTCATATTCATATTCATATTCATATTCATATTCATATTCATATTCATATTCATATTCATATTCATATTCATATTCATATTCATATTCATATTCATATTCATATTCATATTCATATTCATATTCATATTCATATTCATATTCATATTCATATTCATATTCATATTCATATTCATATTCATATTCATATTCATATTCATATTCATATTCATATTCATATTCATATTCATATTCATATTCATATTCATATTCATAGTCATATTCATATTCAGATTCATATTCATATTCATATTCATATTCATATTCATATTCATATTCATATTCATATTCATATTCATATTCATATTCATATTCATATAAACACTTATATTCAAAGTTTTAAAAATAATAAATTATAATGCAAATACATTGTTTTCTCAACTAATATTTACATGTCATTAAAAAAATTATTATTTTTACGCACTCGATATATATCAAGAAACACAGTATCTCTAGATTTGGTGTCAGAACGACAAGAATCTCTCACCTTCACTTTAAAAATAGTTGAGGCAACGGATAATATATTCCATTTTGACTGCCAATCCATTGAAGTGGAAAAGTTTCTCTACATCGATGCTATCTAGTTTCCATTAAATCCCACACGCCTACATTTATTACTTATCCTAAACAACCCATATTCTTTTTACGTATTTGCAACCTAATTCATATCCTTGCCTTTGTGTTCATATCTTGTAATTCCTTTTATGTTTCTTGCATTATAAATCTCCTCAGTCGACAGCTATGTCAGATACTTCAAATGTTAATTCGATAGTTCTGAAAACACCACCCCCTATTGATTACAGATTTTAGTAAGGTTTCGTACTTCAAAAACTTTGCATCCTTAAACGCAATATCTACTTTCATGGTGACATGAGACTTGACTTTAAGAAGTCTCTATTTTCATGTAGTGACATTCAAACTTTTGTTCTTTTATTATCAGAATGAATATTTATTTTTAAATTCTTTGCTTTGTAATTTAAATATTTACTTTATAGTATAAACACAGTCAATTTTTATACAATATAACAAATTTAATTTATCTACATTATAAATTTTATTTATATATTTATGGTACCATGCCTCTACTTCTCTTAAATGCAGCACCTGATTTTCTATTATGATTCGCTCGAGATGATTTATTAACTTCTTTCTTATTTCGATTGCGCAACGTTTCTTTATCCTGTCCCTGCCCCTTTGCTGCACCAACAACATTATGTGTATTTTGTGCAGGTGTTGAGCCTTTTTTATTCCATTTAGCTTGTCTTTGTGCTTCATAACGAGCTCGTATAACTTCCGGATTTTCACAAAAGTTCTTTGATTTATTCTGATCGATTGTCGTTTCTTTATTTGAAGAATCTTCCTCAGTTTCCGAATCATCACTTTCTGAATCATCTTGAATATTAGCTAAGCCAGCTCTTAATTCATTTGATTTAATAAGGCGTGATTCACCTTCGAGTAAAGCTTCATAACTATCATCATATTCATCATTATACTCATCGGTTGGCCCTTCTTCAACCAAGGTGAACTCTTGATATCGATGTCTTATCTGTTCCAATCCACTTTTATCGTCCAGTAACTGACCAACATTCTTTGGAGCATTTGGAAATCCTTTGCCTTGTTTTATAATACATTTTGGATTATCTTGTGTTAATACATCATATGGATCACCATCAAATACGTTAAAATGTTTGATACCAGTTTGTTCATACAACTTATCTTGTGGATCTGGCGGAATAATTGGTTCCGCGGTACTAACACTTGCTAAATCTGGAGGTAGATTTCCTTCTAAGACCGCTGCTATGACATCTTCACTTTTATCATATCGTGATAATAACACTCGAATGAATCCCGCATCTAAATCTGGCAGTACATCTAGCACAGCTGTAACCTCAAGATCAATATCACGTGCAACTGTTTTTTCAACATTTTTAACGTTTTGAACAGATTCAGTTACTTTTTGATTTAAGCTTAAGTTTTTACTAGCATCATAATTATTGTCTGATACAGTATTTTGAATTTGAGCATAAGTTGCGTTTGTTCCTATAGTTGGAATAGAACTAGATTCAGCTTCTTTCTTATAGCCTTTAACCACAAATGATGCTTTAAAATCATCTCTACCAAATTAAGATAAAATTAAATAAAATGAACAATATAAAAAAATTTAAATAATTGTTATATAGTGGACAATATATAAGTTTTGAATTTGATAATATATTATATAAATATCATAAAATAATATATATATATCTTATATTTTTATAACGAATCAGTAATAAAATTATTTTATCTTATTATATTTACTATAAATGATAATATAAATTGATATATATTTTCGATATACCAATATACATTTTTTCAATGAATTAAATATTATAAAGTTATTTATTTTGAAATTTATATCATAAACTTACAAGTCTTTGCAAGCCTGTTTTAATATGTCCACATCTAATTCAACTGGGTACTCTCGTTGATAGTCCACCACAAACATTTGTTCCGCTAAACATTCAGTTAAAAGAGCAATAAAATTTTCGGACGGGGAAAGACTGTCATTTCTAAAATACGCAAATAGTTGATTTTAAAATATACGTTTTGCACAATTAATATTTTTTTGTATTATTACGGATTAATCAGCACACTCTCCACAAATGCATAGGAAATGCTACGAAATGCCTTCAAATACTCTAAACGTGCTTGATTCAACCAATTTAAACTCTTTGCTGCCTCATTGATTAAAAAAATATTTTTATAAAGATAAGGAATGGTATTGTCGTAAAAGTGTGCAATGCTAAAAAAGGTGAAACGTTAAAAGTGCAAATTTACTTTTGATTTCTTTATAATATACCTTTGTCCAAGTTTGTGTTCGTAGCAAAATTGTCGGGCTTCAGGGTATACCTCAAGTAAGACACTTAGTGAATATGCACAATCTAAGGTATACAACACTACATCATCATATGGTGTTTCGGTTCCCTCGTCAAGCTCTCCTCCACCAGCGCCATCAAATCCTTCATTTTCTGTTTGCGTTTGAATGCTTTGAAAAGCATTACTAAAATACCTAAGTGCTTCTACAATGTCCAATTTATATTTAGGCTGTATTTCTATTAATTGTTTAAATATATTTCTTAATAAATCTACATTGTCTAGATCTGCATTTCCAATTGCAATTAAAAGATCAAATAACATTGGCACTGATATCAAAAAATTCTTATAAATAAGATCGCTATGAACTTCATTTGTTATCCAGTACTTATCAGATTCTTTGTTAGTTAAAATTCTATATATAATTCGCACTACTAAACTCAAGTTTTCTTCATACAATTCGATGTTATCGTTTGCTTCGTCCTTCTTGAAATCAATATAAAATGGTGTTGCTTTTTGTAAGAATTGTAGAATTGCATTTAATGCATCTTTTTTATATACCATATATGACCAAAATCTACAATATAAATATATTAAACAATTTATTCAATGTATGAAATGCATACACATACTTATGATGTTCACAGGTTAATAGAAATTTCATATCTTCTCGGAAGCACTCTGCATGATACTTCCATTCCTCGAGTGAAACGTCCTTTTTTATATCACCATTTGGTTGAACTAAACTAACATAGTTAGATGAAAATTCTTCAGATGCCCAAAATTCATCCTATGGAAAGCAACAATGCATTCAAAATAATATCATATATATTAATTTAAAACGAATTACTTACTAAAGCTGGTATAAATTTCTTATCACCATCGGTATTCTTTATTTCAAAGCACAATTGATTCAAAGGTTTTCCTTCTGGGTTCTATATTTGTTAATTGTTATTGTTTATATTTAAATGACTAGTAAATACTTACAGTAAAATCACCTTCCACTTGAGGTGGCATATTTCTTTATTTTATAAATTTGCAGCGTGCTGAACATTTGAAACAGAAATTAAACATTTCACAATCCGTATGACATCAGCATAGAGTAATGACTTAGATGTGCAGAGACAAAGCATACTAATGTATGAGATGCCAACATGTAAAGCAATGTTTGATATACCAATACTTAATTATTTATATGATATATAAATATATTTACCATTTTATATAATATGCACATCATATTATAGAAAATATATATCATTATAATTATTTATATCTTTGTATTTTTTCTAATATCATTTTTTCCAATTTTAAATAAAATTAAATAACTTGTATTTTGGTCAGTACTCATTGCAGTATCAATCACGATTCCGAGTATACACAATTAGCAACGGATTTTAGTAATTTAAATTATTTTTTCAATATAATTTACCTTCCGAGCTATCGAATTTTAAAGTAGTAGACTTTTTACATTGATTACATTATTAAAAAAACTATATACGCTATCTAACACCAACTAATGTATGTAATTTGTATATTAATTATCCAAATTGTGTCGAACACAAAAATGCACCAGATGGCGCATCTACTTGTTGTTGGTAGCTTCTACATAAAAATCCCAACTTTAAAGTTAAATATCTAAAAAATAAAGCTATATTTACTTGCAACGTTGTGAATAGTCGTTATAAAGGTACATATATATAAAGGTACATCCACACCAAAGCGAACGCTTGCGAACTAACGCACTTTTGCAGGTACAATAACTTGCGAATGTTTCTTCTTTCGCAAGCGTTCGCTTTGTTGTGGATGCACCTTAAAATGTCTACTTATGTGTGTTATTAAAAAGCATTTTAAAATTATTTGATGCTATTGACGGTTATTTAATATATTTTAAGAATAAATAAACTTAACATAAATAAACTTTATCAAATCAAATAAATTTAGTTCGTGTACATAAAAAGCACCAAATGTGTTAGCTTTGTTCAATGTGATTGAAACGAATTTATATGATTTTTTTTCTATAGTAACATAACATTCTAAGACAACTGAATAAATAAAAAATGTTATTTATTATTGATACATCTCTAAGCTTCCGTTTTTAGAAAATTTTGAACATGTTCAAACAATACTTGTATGATAGAATAAATATTTGTTTTACCATCAATGAAACTCTCAAAGTTTCCGATTTATAAAAGAATTTATAAAAAATTAATAATTTATTTAATGTGTCTAATTGAAACTTTAGTTGTTACTTATACTTTAAATGATATTATGTATTAAATAACATGCAAATAAAAATTTTGCATATCTCAATTTAATATGATAAAAAAGTATTAAACTGTTTCATCTAATTCATGTTTGTTTTGTATTTGTAGCTTTTCGGCTTGTTTGCTTTGTAAGCTCATTCATTTTCTTTATTTATCATTTTTGATTGTTTTCATACAAACTAAATCTGTTTACGTGGAGTGCTCAGATCGTGATGTTGGCGGAAACTAGCACCGCACTGATAATAGTTTTATTAGCATTATATTAATATAAAAGCTTAAAGATATAATTGTTAAAAATCAAAAATAAATTAGTTCTACATAATATAATAATGAATATACACAGTAAGATGCACTTGCCGGTTTTTGTTTATGTTTTATGAATGTTATTGTCTTTTTAGTGAATGTAAACTCTCTGAAATACATAAGCCTGGTCACATTAACACTTCAAAATGCCATCCTTGGACTTAGTATGCGTTATGCGAGAACACGTCCAGGTGAAATATTTCTTAGTTCAACGGGTAAGTTTATACTAATTCCTTCCGAATTTATTATATCTGCATCTACATATTTTTATTTAAAAATAAAAAATCTTATATATTTACTTAACATAATAAAAATTTTATACAAAATTAAAATTATTTCAAATCTAAAATTTGTAACTTAAAAGTATATCACTTGATATTGAAATCTTTTTGATTAAAGTTATATATTAAATGTATATTTCCTGTAATTTATTTGTATGACAAAATTTTCTTCGAAAGATAAAAATTTTTATCAAAAAAAAAAACTAAAATATGTATGTGTAGTTTTTAACTTTGGCAGAAAATCAATCTATTAACTGCCAGTACTTAACATAAAAACTTTTATTTACACATATACATACACATATATAATATATAAATAAAAAAATCTTTTTGTTTTTTTTTTGCAGCTGTGCTAATGTCTGAAATAGTCAAGTTAATAACTTGCCTCGTACTTGTGTTCAATGAAGAAGGAAAAGATGCACAAAAGTTTATTCGCGCTTTGCATAAAACAATTATATCTAATCCTGTTGATACACTCAAAGTTTGCGTTCCATCTTTAGTGTATATTGTACAAAATAATTTATTATATGTTTCTGCTTCACACTTAGATGCAGCTACTTATCAAGTAACATATCAGTTAAAAATTCTTACTACTGCAATGTTTGCAGTTGTGATACTTCGTCGGAAACTCTTGACTACACAGTGGGGTGCATTATTGCTGCTTGTTGCTGGCATCATACTGGTACAGTTAGCACAAACTGTTGGCGAAACGACAAAAATAACTGAAACATCTGGTCCAGAGCAAAATCGCTTGCTTGGCTTATGGGCAGCAATTGGTGCCTGTTTCCTTTCTGGATTTGCTGGTATTTATTTTGAGAAAATTTTAAAAGGCGCCGATGTCTCTGTGTGGATGCGTAATGTGCAATTGAGTCTTTTAAGCATACCTTTCGGAACAATAACATGTTTTGTTAATGACGCCAACAAAATATTATCAAATGGTTTTTTCTTTGGTTATGATATATTTATTTGGTACTTAGTGCTCTTACAAGCGGGTGGTGGACTTATTGTAGCTGTTGTAGTAAAATATGCTGATAATATATTAAAAGGATTTGCTACTTCTCTAGCAATAATCATTTCCTGCATAGCTTCAATTTATATATTCGATTTTAATTTAACACTACGTTTTAGTTTAGGTGCCGCTTTAGTAATAGCATCCATATTTTTGTATGGATACGATCCAAAAAAATCTCCAACAAGTATTAAATCAATGCAATCTCAAATGCCACATCCCGATGAAGAAAAATTATTGCCAAAAGTATAGGTCATTACATATACGAGTTCCTAAAGTATAACAAAATAAACAACAAAACTTTATTATTTGCTTTATTTTTTACATATTCTTTATACACTTTTTTTAGGGTTTATAATTAGACGTCTATAACCTCATTAAAAAAAACCCTTGATTGTAAATATCTTGTTTAAACGAATAAAAATACTGTGCCGAGTAATGTTTTATGTAAAATTATTTTAAACAAATGTATGGTCAGTTATTTATTACCTTCCATTAGTATTTACAAAAACACATAAATGCTTTGCCTTTTAAACTTAAAAATTAAATAAAATAATTTTATTTAATAAAAATATATTTTATTATTTGTAAAAATGAACATTTTGTAATATGTAATCATATTTAATAAAGAAATTTTTTCGTACACTTATACGTTTTTAAAATTAACATTTCCACCCTAAGGTGGGATCATTCTGTTTTGTTTGCAGTTTCAAAATTAAACTGTAAATTCTCAACGATGGTCCCAACTTTAAAGGCAATTTTTTGATAACATCACTTCTTTTTAGTAATAAAAGTGACGCTCCATCGATTTCATGATCTCGAAATACAGATGCTTCCTTTGGAAAATACTTTGTTAAATAATCTGCTACTTGCTCGACAGTCCATCCTTTTACATTTGGAAGATCCAACACATCATTTGCGTTATATTTAATATTTTCTTCAGGTTTTATGGGCTTGTCACCATTAGATTTCTCATTTTTGACAATTGCTTCTGAATGTACCTTAACACCATTATGAATAATAGGCTTCTTATCTTCACCAGTATTATTTTTAATGGATTTTACACATGATTCGACATTAGCTGGTGGTGCTGGTTTTACAGGTTTTTGTTCAGCTAATATTTTTGGTTCACTGCCAATAATATCTTTAATATTTGCGTTACTTAGCAAATTTTCACCAATAAGTGGTACCGCGCATTTCTTGCATCTCCAGTTTGTTTTAGACTTCTCGAAGGAACGTACATTAGGTACATGGCACAAAGAATGAAATGATTTGACACATTTGGCACATGTCATAATATCATCCTTAAAAAAATATGAATTTTAAATATAATAAAAAATATATCTTTAGAGTTTCTACTTACATTCGATGTGCTGCTGGTACTTGCGCGCCCTGAGAGGTTGTCGCAGATCTCACATGTACGGCATGTTTCACACTTAAATTTTTTCCTAACAACATCAAAGTCTTCAAATTCCATTTTTAAGCATAATTTATGAACTAAAAACATACAATATATATTTTAGACGACTTTCTAATAAGATAAAATTTAAATTTTTGAATTACCCTTTTTATCGCACAACAAACATGACACCATTTTTTTATAGTTTTGACTGCGCTTAAACTCCTTTTTTGTACAAATATAACACGGATATGCTTGTTCTTCGCTATTTACACTTGGTGTTGTGACCATTGTTATATCGGATAATGTTGAATAGCGACGTCGGCTTACTGGTTGTGGTGTGAACGGTTTGTTACGTTCTGAAGACTGAGATGCAATAGAAATAGAAAGCGAATTTGATGAAATAACGCGCTGGGAGCGGGGCAAATAGTTATCCGATGGATCAAAGACTGCTTTCGGTTTCTAAAGTAAAAATAATAACAAACTTAAATTTTCAAGTAATTACTTTTCAAACCTTTATACGCCCAGTTGTTCGTACACCAACTTGCTCCATACCATGGTTAATATTTCCATTGTCATCTGGATTAAGACGCATACGCGCGACTTTCTTCATCTAAAACAAAATGTATACGATAAAATTGAACGCCACAAGTGATGCTTGTTTATACAAAGTTCAAATCAAGCATATCTTACTAAAAAAGCTTACCATAACAATAAATAAGTTCTAAGGTTAGATAAATATTTAATGTAAGTCACTTACTTTCACTTATTCTATAAAATTGTAATAAGTTTACTTACAATGAATGTGATAAACACTTGCGTCCTTAACCAACTCTTTCAAAGAACACAAACGCAGTTAATCAAATGGCTTGTCAAAATATGCTTCATTAAACTGATAACTATTGTTATCGATCATTTTAAAATGGACATACAGCAAAAAATATATAAATAAATTATGAGCTACTTCCACATCCAACATGTTTGTTGGCATAACTTGACAGCATCGTCTTGACACAATGTTTAATAAGAAGCAACTAATCTTGATTCAATTATCTCTTGTTAAATACTAATATTATTTTATTTGAAATTATTATATTAACTGTGTATATTTTACAAAAATTATGTACCAGGTGTACATTTATGAAGCGAGCGTAAAAATACAAATGTTCCGACAGGGAACATTTGTTGTGAATGAGCCTTTATTTGTTTTTGTTTGTTTGCTATGACATGTGTGAAATATATTTAATATACATCAAGTCATTGAACAGACAACATCATATTTTTTCATCGTGTTAAAAATGTCGAATTTTGTACCAGAAAGTGATGATTTGCGGAAAGCATTAATTCTTTGTTTTCATTTGAAGAAAAGTGGTGCAGAGTCACATCGAATGCTTGTCGAGGCATATGGTGATCATGCTCTATCAGAAGCAACATGCAAAAGATGGTTTCAACGGTTCAGAAATAATGATTTTGATGTAAGAAATGAAGAACGTGGAAGACCGCCAAAAAAGTTTGAAGACGCCGAATTGCAAACGATATTGGATGGAGATGACACGTTGGGTCAAAAGCAAATGGCAGAAATGTTAAATGTTGCACAACAAACAATTTCTGACCGTTTAAAAGCTATGGGAAAGATCCAAAAGTGTGGAAAATGGGTGCCACATGAATTGAATGAAACACAGATGGAAAAGCGAAAAAACACTTGTGAAATTTTGCTTAAAAGACACGAAAGAAAATTGGTTTTGCATCGGATTGTTACTGGCGATAAAAAATGGTTTTATTTTAAGAATCATAAACGGAAAAAATCATGGGTTAATCCGGGACAACCATCAACATCGTCTGCAAAACCAGATCGATTCGTCAAGAAGACAATGCTGTGTGTTTGGTGGGACCAGAAAGGTGTGGTGTACCACGAGCTCCTAAAACCTGGTGAAACCGTCAATGCTCGTCGCTACGAACAACAAATAATAAATTTAAACCATGCATTGATCGAGAAACGACCAGAATGGGCCAGAAGACACGACAAGGTAATGCTCCATGACAATGCACCTGCACACAAAGCAAAACGGGTTCAGGATGCAATCAAAACACTTGGCTGGGAGCTGCTACCCCACCTGCCGTATTCACCAGACTTGGCTCCTTCTGATTACCATTTGTTTTCATCGATGGGACACGCATTGGCTGAGCAGCACTTTGATTCCTACGAGGAGGTCGAAAATTGGGTATCTGGTTGGTTTGCTTTAAAAGACGAACAATTTTTTTGGCGTGGTATCCACAAACTGCCAGAAAGGTGGTCAAAATGTGTAGAAAGCAATGGCCAATACTTTGAATAAAATGTTTTTTACTTTCCTATTAATAATTAGTGTTTTATTTTCACCAAAAAACGCTCATTTCATACCGGTACACCTAATAATTATAGAAGAAGAAAAAACAATACCAAAGGTTATAGAAATGAGTGCAGAAAAAATCGGTGAAATAACTCCTAAAAATAGAAGTTGATTTCGAAGTCCCAATGGAATTCAATAATACGAGAACTGATGAGTTTGATGCGCCAAAAAAATGTAGAAAGAAAGAAAGAAAATTAAATGAGGATAGGAATAGAACCATCGCAACTTGAGCAAAACGTTGCAGTTTTAAAAGCAAAAGTGTAGAAATTAAAACTTGCCGTATATGCAATCGAATTTAGTTTGAATGTAACAAATTCACGAAAAAAAAGAAACGTATAAATATTGACAAAAATATAATAAACACTGTTAACATAAGCATTTTTGGAGAAATTTTATGAACTTTTCATGTGCAATTCACACGATATATCATAAATTTTGTAAGACATTTGTATGACAATAATAAAGTCATGTCTGTTGTAACCTTCTTCGGAGATCTTCAGTAAGAATCAACTTTCATAAGATATTATATTATTGACCAAATTCACAGTTTTCAAATTAAAAGAATAATTTAGCAGTTTTAAATTTATTTTATATATATATTATAATATTTAATACTTTTAATAAAACAACATAGATAATATTCGATTTTAACTGTGCGATTCGTGTCTGTACTAAATTTTGTCTAAAACTTATTAAATTCTTAAATATATACTATATTATTTCGTAGTTCTGCTTTTAAAAATGCCTTACAAATACTATTCTTTTTAAAGAACAAATAATCATATTAAACAAATAATAAAGCACGAAACTAGTGTACAAGATTTCTGCAAATTTGCATTAACTTTGTAAAAAAGATTATCTTTATAATAATATATAGCAAACAAGTTTATGTAAACAATTTGAAAACTTATTTAAAAAATTAAAAATCTAAATGTGCTTCCATAAAACATAAGTAATATTTACTAAACATTGTACCATTTATTTAGTCATATAAAGAGTATAATAATAAATAAACCGTAATAAAAAATTTTTTTTTTCAATAAAGAATTGAGGGCCCCCGATAAAAATGCTTATTCAATTATTTTAAATAAATAAAATTAATTAAACTTTACGACCTACACTTTTTGTTACAAGATGCAGCACGTATAGCATTAAGATAATAATATCATAATTATGATCATAATAATAAATTTTTGAATTATTATATAATTCTACAAAGCACTTAAAATATATATTTTTATATTCCTATAAAGTTGTATTTAATTTTAAAACAATTTAAAAATAAATCATTTTTGGTAAGCTTTTCATTCTGTATCTTAATATAAATGTATTTAGACACCAGTATTCAATAAACTTTTTCGTATGACATGTTTTATTCGGCAATATAACAAAAATTTTACCAAATAACCGAATTCGGTGTGAATACTCATATTATATTATTTAAAAAATTCCAATAACCAAACATTTCGATTTAACCATGTATTTATTTATTAACAAATCAAATTTAGAACAAAAGTTAACTTCTTTTCACTCTATTTTTATACGTCTGCCATATTTCCAACCCAACTTCACCAATTCTCGGTTTTCAAGACACCAAACCGCTAAACAGAATAGCACTCCAAAAAATCCAAAAGTTACGTGTAGAAGCATAGACTGAGCATTATTCTATAAAAGATATTTAATCAAAATAAATTATAATCAAAAGAAAACAACAGAAGTTACTTACCAGGGAATACTTGCATAACAAACCAGCAAGTATTAAAGATAGAGCAAAAAATTTACCCGGCATTAATCCTTTCAAAGGATTAATGTTTAGAGGTTTATATTGCTTCCAAATAAAATGTGTACTGAAAAAAATTTGGTTATAATATTTTGATTGAAGTATATTTTAAACATTTACCTATAGCTAATGCGACTTAACATGTTTATACAATTAGCAAATATAAATCCCACAGGACCAAATATAGTTGTTAAAATGTATGACAATACAAGAAAACTTATTGAAAATATTGCCATAAGATAATTATATTTATCAATATCTTTGCTTGTATTTGTAGCAAACATGTATCCTTCAGTGATACCATTGACAGCTAAAAACCAAATCGCCAAGCAATGCCATTGTAATAGATTTTCTGGTAAGCCACCTTTTACGAAATCAGCTCCTCCATATATTAGTAAAACAGTACGAGAGTAGCTTTGTCCAAACGTCAAGGCTAACAAGCCTATGGATGTAACGGCTAGTGAAAGATTGTTGAGAACTTGCCCAACTTGAAAGATTTTGTGCTACATTCTTTATATATTTTATTCATAAAATATATTAAATATTATATATATAATACCTTATCCTGCTTGTGCAATTTGATATCACGCGAAATACTTTGAGTAAAATAAAAGTAGCTACTCTCCTCAATAGGCCGAAAAATAAAACGTGCTGCCAAGCTACCCAAATTATTCACAACATCATAAGTTGCTTGTTCACTAAAACTTAATACAGGACTCATGGACATAACATATTTCTCTCCTTCTGTTAAAATTTGTTTCAATACACCTTGCTTCACAAAACTCAATGTTAAGACTTGCAATTCACTATTAAGAAATTTATCCTGTAATAAAATTATTAAAACAAAATTTTGTCGTTCATATATATGTATATATTAAATAAATAATATAAATATAAATAAATAAATATTTTTTATTTAATTTTTTTTTTATATAAAGTCTATTTACTAAAGTCTATTTATAAAGTCCTATTTACTTTATATATTATTTAATAGTAAATAGAGCTTGGGGACATATATTATTCAATAATAATAATAAATAGTAAATAAATAATATTATACTCACCTTGCTTTTCATAACACCAGGTAAAAATTCAGTTATTTTCTTAAAGGGAAAATCTTCCATATTTGCAAAGAGCATTATATCAAGTTGACTTCTTTTTATTTGTGTAGTTTGAGTATTTTTAATCTTAATTTCCATATTTTTTAAATTATTAAATCTTTTAATATAATAGTAGTAAAACCCATAATGTCCTATTATTATTGTTACAGCACTAGCAAGTTGAGCAATTGCAAAAGCATAAATTGCGACACTGCCATCATCCAAAACAATCCATAAAAATACAATAGAACGAACGAAAATGTGTAAAGTATTTAATACAATTTTCAATTTAACAAAACAAAAAACTTGTGATACAAATACTGTTGACTCCGCGCATAGCTCTATAACGCAAGATAATGCAACAGCATAGCAACCAAATCTATACTGGGCACTAAAATGCTCTTCAACGGCAGACAATTGTTCTGTCCAAATATATAGGCATGGAATGCAAAGTAGCACACAGATTGGGACACTAGATAAAAAAAAGTAAATATGTTTTAAATTTGTTTATAATAAAATTTCTAATACTTACGTAAGCCACATTTGGTTGACCAATTGTGGCCAAGTACATTTTTCTTTCTGTTGTGATGTAGCACTTAACGCAGCACGGTTAATAGCTTCGCGTGATAAAAATAGTAATGTGCTTTCGAGTAAGAGTAATCGAACATTCATAATGCCCAGCACTTCGCGGCCCACATTACGTACAATAAAGGCATTTATCCCAAACGTAACAATTCGGCAAAATATCTAAAAACATTATTGTTGGTAATACAATTATGATTCATCAATACATTAAATTATTACTTGGAAAACAATGCTGAAACAAGCGTTAAGTAGACTACTCTGTAAAATATTACGAGCCATTTCTACGGTTCCAGATCTTAACCTCACAGCTTTAACTTATATATTAATATAATTTTTTTGTTAACAATAACATATTACATTTTAGCTCGGAATAATATTATTCTTGATCGAGATAAACAAATGTCAGGCGCTAATACATTGCGGTTGTCTAAATAAAGCAACAAAAACATCTGCTGATTTAGCTTGTTTAGATATAGCATTTTACTCAGTAATTGTTACTAAACCAAATATGTTTATTCTTTTCAAATAATTTCATAACATTAAATAATATTAATATACAACAGCCGTGCTTCATGTAAATATCTTAATGGTCTCTTCTCAATATACAGGCAAACTTTTATCTGACACACTTGTGCATACAAAATTTGCGACATCTAATAAATTGTAGTTCGTTGTAAACGCCGGTAAATCATTTTATAAATAAAAATAAAAGCGTCCCCCACTATATTTATTCATCTAATTATATTTTATTATATATATGCGCAAATAAAATGAGAACTTGTTTTGTACCAGGATGCGACAAGAAGTGTAAACAAATGAAACGTACTATGTTTAAAGTTCCGAAGGTAACTTTATTTATATATGTATATATCATTCACAAATCTTTAAAATATATTAATTCCTAATATAATATTACTTATAGGAGAAACAATTATTTGAAAAGTGGATCCATTCACTACCAAAAGTAAAGCCACTGACAGAAGCGGATCGTGTCTGTTCCTTGCATTTTCATACAGATGATGTTCAAAATACTTTTTATCATATAATTGAAGGGAAAACTTTGCATATACCAAGGGAACGACCAAGACTTAAACTGAATGCAGTGCCTACACTGAATATTCCAAGTGAAAATGAATTAGTGTGTTATTATTATATATTTTAAAACAAATCATTTACATATAATATTTTTCAGGAAAAATTCAAATATGCGCCAAGAAAACATTTAAAAAATACAAAAAATTTCGTAAATGATAAAAGTTTTACATCAAATAAATCGAATAATTCATTAAAGACATCTAAAGACAACCTTGACATTACAAATTCTAAGAATAAAGAATTAAGTCCGCAATCTGTAAATAGCCCAATTACTGATAATAAACATCCGTATGCCGCAATACCTACACAAAAGGTATAATTTTACGCATGATTAAATGAAATATTTTAATAAAAGTATTTTTTACAGAAAATAAATTCAAGAGAGAATTCACGAGAAAAAGACTTTACATATAATGCCATAAACAATAAACCTGAAATAGTAAATGTTGAATATTTAATTTCATATCAAGCAACAAATATACCAAAGGAATCCGCTAAAAAAGATGACATATTTTCTGAAACAGACTTAAAAAATCAATCTGAGAAAGTTACACTTGAATCATATGCAAATGATAATGATGTTGAAGCATTACAACTAAGCGAAGCAATTATTAAACCAAAGAAATTTAAAAAAAGCCATAGTATAAATTCTTGTAGTGAAGAATTAAATCGGCAAACTACAAAAGTTCCATTTACTGCATATAAAGATGATAAGGCTTCAATGGAATTTTCACCGGAAGCAAGCAAATCATACAATGATCAATATCAAAGTTTTTTCGATGATATATATGAAGTTGAATTACCAAATACCCTCTGGGGAATACATCGATGCCCTGAACGTTCAATTATTATATTTTCATATATGGACATCAAACAAATGAGTCCTACAAAAATGATATCAATTGACACCGAAGGAATTATAAAAATATTTTCTAATAAACAATTAATGAATACTACATCTTTATTAAATGAGGATAACAACATACAAAGAGTATCCAAATTATTATTAGAACTTGATCAGTTAAACTAAGTCTTTATTGTATATATTTTTATAAATACATCTTAACTGTTTTCCGTAAAAATTATTTAGAAGCAATATTTTTTTCTTTTCAATTTTTGTTTAATTCTGAGAATACCTGTTTCTTGCAATTTAAGGAAGAAATTATATTAAAAGTAATAAAGATATTTATAAATACATAGTTAAACATTTAAACTAATTTTTTGTTGTGTCTTTATTAAAATTACAAAAAATATATATATAAAAGTACTTTGTTTTTCACAAATAGAAAATTTTACACAAATAGAATATTATTTGTAATAATATAATATAAATATCAATATTCATAAAATAGAAAAATATAATCAAATTTACGAATTGAGAATATTTTTGTCTAAAAATAAAAATTAATTATGAAATGATTACTTTAAAATTGTATAAAAATAAATCAAAATTTAAAAGGTTGTAAAATTTATCAAATATATACATGCTAATACATCAATTAGCTTTTCCGGTCACTTTTAAAGCTGCGAATTCGTTACTTAACAATTTCATAATATCAGCATGTTTTAATTGTGGCTGTTTATACTGTTTATAATTCTCTTGCACAAACTTTGCAAATCCAGTGGGAGTCTTTACGGGAGTAGGCACTATATTACCAAATTTATCCTTTTTGTTAAGAAAGATTTCAATTGCACCATGACAATAAGAACATCGTATGTTTTCAACCTTTTTTGATTTCGAATGCGCATGTGATCTTCATAAAAGCAAAACTTAATAATATATATTAAACTGTAAACTATTTTAACTTACTTCGCATCACATAAAGTACATTTGTATGTATACTTATACTCAATTTCATATTGATGACACACACCAATTTTAGGTATTTCTGGGAACACACTATTCGCTTTACGCGCCCTATATTTTTATAAATATAAAAAATTATAATCTTTCTTATTTTTTTTTGTTTTGCTTATGGCAAAAACAATTCATGCTTACCACTCTTTCCAAGTAGCACCATGTCCACCTTCTCCATTAAAAACCCATGTCGCAGCGTGACACAGTTCATGAATTAATGTACACCGTAGTCGATCAGCACTAGTAAGAACTTTTTCACTTAATTCAACAACAGAGCTCCGCGTGTTAAACCTAAAATGTAAACCTAATTAAACCATATTTATTTTAATTGGAATACTAATTTCACAAACTTTTTTTTATTTAAACATCTACCAGCGGTGTTTAATAATTTCTTATTCCAAACTATTGGCACGTTTAGCTCATTTGAAAATAGTTTCTCATTGTAAAGTTTATATAATTTAGTTGCAAGTTCTTCTTTTCGAATTCGATAATTATCACGATAATATAACGCATCAGGATCACAAAACTTTTTACTTACACACACTAAAAGCAAAATATTAATTTTTATTATATAAAATAAATTAAAATAAATAAATTTTTTCGTACCATCTAAAGATTTTAAAAACCCATACTTTATATCAGATGTACAAATTTTTTCTTGTTCGTAATTTTTTTTTGAAGATTTAGGTATTTTGTTCTCATTATATAATAAAGACTTTGGAGTTGCATTAGATTTTGGTGTACCTAGATTTTTAGTATAATTTGTGTAACTTTTTGTGCTTTATTAATTGAAAGTATATATCTTACATTTTTTTACATTACGCGGGGGAGTGGCAAAAAACAAAGGTGTTCCATTTTTAACAGCTTCCAACTTCTTATTAAAGTATTTAATCATTGTAGGATCATTAAAGCTTATACAACTTTCGTCAGATTTGGATTCAGTTTTTGGAGATTCCGGAGGTGGTACAATAACATCCTCGTCTTCGACTGTAAATAATTTACGTTTTGTTTTAGTACTAGGTGTTCCTTCTATTTTTGGTTTATCTACACTTGCACATGTTCGTAAAATATTCTGCAAACGTTCTTTAAAGACATCATCTGAAATTCAATAACGTTATAACTACGCATGAAATATAAAAATAATAATATACCGTGATTAGCAGGTGGACTATCTGGAGGATTTTCATGAACAATTATTTCGTGTTGTGTTAAATCTAGATAAATTATTTTATCTTTAGAACTTTGTGCAGTTTTATTGTTTTCTTTTCCTTTACGATTCATCCTTTTAGAATGTATGTGTTTTTTATTTACAAACTCATTTTCATCATCAGTAGTATCAGTATCATTTGAATTTTCCTTATCTAATGAATAGTCAACATCTTCATCATCAGAAGCATTGTCATACTCGCTTTCACTTTCTTCATCTACTAATTGTCTCCATCTCTCTTTAATTACCCGACCTTTCTTTGTCATAACTGGAGCTTTCTTCTCTGTTTGTGGTACTTTAATATTCCGTCGCACAGTATCAATTCTATTATTTCGTCTAGGCTCTGATGTAGCATTTTTTGGAATGTTTTGTTGCCTTGGAGTTACCAAACGAGTTGAATCCAAATTTGTTTTCACAATATTACGCTTAACTATTTAAGTATAAAACATATGTACATTTACATTTATTATTCACATTTATTATGTGTAATATACACAAAACTTACATATAGAAAAATCATCTAATATACTTTCTTCAACGATTTTAATTTCTTGATGTTTAAAACCCCGATCTTCGGTTTCTTTAGAACTACTAATCTGATCGACTTTATTAACTGAATTGGCGTCATTATTTAAGGAAGACTTTGATTCAGTGGTTTTAGTTTGCTTCAATTTATGTATAACATCTGGAGTTTGCCATGATTTTCCATATAGTTGGTTTAGAAGTTTTTCCGCATGTGTAAGGAATTTATCTTCAGGTGAACGAGTTTCAACTATGGTCGTATTTTTATTTTTGTACTGTTTTTGCTGCACACACTCATTTAATGCAGAATTCTCTTGAGGCAGTGATAAAGGTTGTTCATTTGATTTTGTTTTAAATTCGTCGCTATTACATTCTTCCATACTTTCTTCACTATTATCATCAGATGTTTCTTCTTCAGGTATGTGTATTTTTATATTTATTTTTGCAGATATATTTATACTTCCTATACCCAATTTTATTTGAGAAATTTCTAAATCAGAATCCTCACTATCATTTTGAATATTATTTTTTAAAACTGGTGTTTCAAAATTTTCTGACTTACTGGAATCTTCAAATTCATTTGAAGTTTCAGAAATAATTATAGATTCCTCTGGAGGTAGAGAGTTTTCTCTGGAATTAACAGTATTATCATGACTACCAATGCTGACTTCTTTCATTGAAATTGATTCACTTGAAACGTCTGTATTTATTACTGTATCATCATTTGCTAACATTTTAGATTGGGTAGTTATATTTGTGAGACTTACTGATCTTCTTAAATCTCCAAATTTTAAGCGATGAGCTTGACCCAGTTTTTCAACACTATTACTTTTTAATGTATTTGAATTTATATTTTCAGTAATAATCCCTATTGTAACAGATTCTGTATCAGCATCTACTAAATTCTTACTACTTTTTAATGTATTTGAATTATTATTTTCAGTAAGAATTCCTGTTGTAACAGATTCTGTATCAGCATCTACTAAATTCTTTCCATCATGTAATTTAATACTTTCAAATGATTGATATAAATCTGTTATATTATCTACAGTGTCCTGTTGTTGAATCCATTTATTTCTTTCACATTCTTGAGAAACATCGTGTAAGAATGCTTCTACACGATCCGCTTTATCATTACTGAATGTACATGGTAATAAACCATTTTCGGTCTGTCCACTTTTCGGTATATCCGATGTCATTAAATCAAAATCAAAAGTCATACTTTTTGTGTCATTTGAATCTGAATCAGATATTGATATAATTGAATCTTCTTCAGAGTCTGAAGATGAAATTGATATAGAAGCATTATTAGCATTAAATTGTAATTGTGAAGTAAGAGAAGTGGTACTTATTTGCTTTACAGCTAAATTTTGCTCTGTTTCGTTCTTTTCTACATATTTCTTCCTACTTTTATCACAATTTTCAGATATATCTTCACTTGAACAATTTGAACTGAAATCCTCAGTTATCTGCAAACGATCCATTTGTTCAGTTTGATCCAATATTTCATTATAGTTTTGGTGTTCAAAACTTTTTTGTTCAGATAAAATTTGATCATCAGAAACGTTTATATCAGTTTCATTGTCTTTACTATCTTTTGAACTAGAATCGCTCCTTAATATTGGATTAATGTATACTCTATCTTTGGGATCTACATTTGGGATTTCAGCATTAGAAAGTTCTTTTAACAAGTTTCGACTAGCACTTTCTCTTTTTTCAATTAGTTGTTCCTTTTGATTTTCCCTCAAATCGTCTTTTTTCTTTTTATTAGAAGACAAAGTCAACTTATTGAACTCTAAAATAAATAAAAACAATAAATACACGCAGCTTTAGCATGTACCGTTCAAAATATTGTTGTATACATACTTTCATTCAACGGAACTTTTACTTTTGTCGGATCAACAGATTTTATTAATTGATATTTGAAACCCTCATCCATTGCAATGATTATTTTTAGTAAATTTTACGAATTTTCGACTCAAATATATTTAACACGAAACCATAAACAACCTTTTTTGAATGTTTGTTGCGCATATCAATGTTGACAACCGCATCTAACAAAATTGAGATATATCGATAACATAAAATAATATCGATTGTAAAATGATGTTGTGCACACATTTTACCAATTTTATAAAATTGTATAAATTAGAATTTTGTATAATACTCGTATATGCTGAAAAGTAAAGATTTGTCAGCGCTGGCAAAATTTTGACCAAAACTACGGAAATGGTTTAGTGGAACGTGTGAAAAATTAAAATTATACTTGGAAACACAAAAAACTATATACGCTATCGACCATATCAGAACTCAACGCATAAATATATTTGCGTTTTTATTAGTTTGATTAATCTGAATTCAACATAGATTTACTAATTTAATTTTTTTGTACTAGTATTAATAGACATTTATATTTTTCATAATATAAAGTATTTTTGTAATAGTATTAACAGATATTTATATTTTTCAAAAAGTTTAAAGTTAATCTCAATTTAAAGAGTTACCGAAAGTTTACCAATCAAAAACAACATAAGCTTTCTAAATAAAACACTTTATTAAAATATTTATTATGTAGATTATATGGGAGATTACTGAAAGAACTGAACTTTGATGAAAATAATTATAAAGATTTACAATATTTATTAAAACTGTTTTCAAAATATCTTTTCTAAATTGTCTATACATCTTACAAATGTTTTCATTCAAAATATTAAGCATTTAAGAGTTTTAAAGTTTTTTATATTGGCGTGGTATGAAACAGTAATATTAGAAAGTATTAACACTACTACTTGAATATTTTTGCATTTGTTCAAAATTTGAAGCGTTTTAACTGTAGCATTTGTTTTAGTATGGTTGTATACAGCTATATGCTTGAAAATGTTCGAATATCATATTATAAAAATTGTATGCTAATGTTCTTGAATAGATTCAGTATTGTTATTTAGTTTTTTATATTGGAACGCACAGAAATATTAGTGTTGTCCGTCTTTTAAAAGTTGTTTTTTGAACTTGATAATTGCTACCTGAAATAAAGACCGGCTGTATGCTCGAAGGTCATATAAAATATATGTGAATTGTACAGATGGGCTGCCTAAAATATGTTTGGTATATATGTCAACAATTTTCTTCTTAAATAGTTAAATAGAACATAACTAGAAACAAATACATTTGTTTATGGAAGAATATAATAAATGAATTGAATTTATTTTTACCTTCTAATATTCTGGCTATTGTGATACTGAAATTTAATTTTTTATCAGTTTAAATTAATTTTGGAAAAATGGGTCGGAGATCTATTAATACCACAAAGAGTGGTAAATACATGAATCCTACGGACCAAGCACGTGAGTTATTTCAAATAAATAACTTTTTTATATTAATAACAATGATTTTTATTAAACAGGAAAAGAGGCTCGTAAGAAAGAACTTAAAAAAAATAAACGCCAACGTCAAATGGTAAGAGCTGCAGTACTAAAAAATAAGGATCCAGGTCAAATATTAGAGGAAATGGAAAAAATTGACGAAATGGGTACGAATTGGATTCTAGTATATTTTAAATTGTCCATTTTTTTTTCTTTAATTTTATAAATTTTCAATTTTTTCTTTTAGAATATAATGTAATGCAACCTTCCCCACTAAATGAAAAGGTACTGCGAGACAAAAGGAAAAAGTTAAAGGAAACTTTTGATCGTGTTATGAGGCTTTACGTGAGATAATTTATATACTTATAATAAACATAATATTCATTACTATTTAACTATTTAGCATAATGATGAGCCAGAACATTGGGCAGAGTTAAAACGAAAGGAAGTAGAATATGAAAAGAAACGTCTCAAAAAACAACAATACTATGAAAGTGTAAAACACGCACAAAGTGTACAAATCGATGAAATTCCATTACCTGCAGCTGTACAAGTAAATATATTAATTTCATCTTATGGTTTTTTTGCTTAAATTTAGTTTTTATAGGCACCACCTGCTGGAAGTTTAGGAAATATAATATTTCCTACTGCAAATAGGCTTCCACCTCCACCCACAGCTTTATCCTTGCCTCCATTTGCACCTGGTGCTCCGCCCGGGGCAATTAAAAAAAATGATGTGAGTTTTTCATAATATTAAAAATGTTTTGATTATTTATATTTTTAATGTATTTAGATAAAGAAGACCGTAGATAAAAACACAGAAACTAAAAAGAAAGAACCGCCAGGTATACCGGCCGGGCCACCACCAAATCTTTTTAGTATGCAAGAACTTGATACGGATGCAGAAGATGATGAAGTAGTACTCAAGGAATATAATCCCAGACAAAAGAGTTCTAAAGTGAAATCTGTTCCAAAACCAAATTCATTACAACAACGCATGTTAGCTATATCAGGTCAAAATATTGACGAATTTATGAAGGAAATGGAAAATGTGCATAAAAAGAAGGAAAAAGAAAGAGAAGCTGCTGTGCGCGGACAAAAGGATAATTCTGATAGTGAAGACGAAAATGATAAACATTCAGAACGATCTGAGAATTCATCTGACACTAATAGTCAAAATAGTGATTCAGGAAGTGAAAATAATAATGATACATCAAAGAAATTAAAAAATGAACCAGAAAAGGTCACACCATCCGTTATAAATACTGTTTCCACTATACCGGTTACTATTCCACTACCCCCAATACCCAGACCTGCAGCACATTTGGGTATTCCAGCTCCTCCAATACCTCCTGTACCAAACTTAGCACCGATGATGTTTCGTCCACCGCCACTCCGAGGAATTCCAAACTTTGGTATACGTATGCCTCCAGGCCCTCCTCCAGGTCCTCGACCTGGTGGTGTGGGACTACCTCCTCGCTTGGGAATTCGTATGCCACCTGGTCCACCGCCAGGCATACCACACCATCATAAAAACATACCTCACCATAAAGACATTAGCAAAGGAATAACAACTATAACTGCAAAACCACAAATCAGGTAAAATATTTAAAATTAATTTAAATAATTTGATATAAATTTCAATATCATTTCCATACCATTTAGAAATCTGAGTGCTGATGTAACTCGCTTTGTGCCCTCTACATTACGAGTGAAACGTGAAGAAAATAGAAAACCAAATCGTATGAAAACATATACTCAAGAACCGAGTAACTCCTCTGTCGAAGCTAATAAAGCTGCAACTAAAGACGATGCTTACTTACAATTTATGAATGAAATGCAAGGACTCCTTTGAATATATTAAGATTTATTTTTATGTTATTACGCTGTAGTATAGTTTTTAGTTTTAACATTTTTCAGATTAATTAAATGTAATGATATTAGTTACTTTATTTCAACAAAGTAATACTTGATGATATGTAAAAACTTTAAATATATTTATTTAAAATACAATATTATGTACTTGTTTATTTATTTATGTTAATTCAATGCCTACAACACTTGTCAACAGCGTTAACTACCTTTTGTTTAATGTAAAAATTTTTATTCATATATTTATAACTTTTTAAAAATAATATTTATGTTTGTATTCATGAACGCAACCACAAACAATAAACTAAAAATGAAAATGTTCGAAATACTAAAATAGTGTACCGTTGCCGACATCTCATGTAAAATTTTTAATGTTGTCATTAGTGTCCTTTTCACGGAAGTAGTGAACCTTTGTAGCGATAATTTTCCGAAGGTAGTGTACTTTAGTTGCTATCGAGCAAAATGTTTTGGAAATGTTTTGAATATGCATTGTTGTTTCGTTTGTACGAGAAGAAGACAAAATGTTTGCATTTGTATTTCATGTATTTTGTTTATGTTCCTCAATTATGATATATATGCATTTATTAATGTATATATTTGATGATGTATTAGACATAATGTACATAAATATAATATTTTATTGCGGTTAGATAATTTGTATTAATAATACTTATAAGAGGCAGCAAAAATATAAAGTTTTCAAACATGTTCTTTAAAGAAAATCATAAGAATAATATAATATTTTACTGCGGATAGGTAATTTGTATTAATAATACTAATATAAGGAAAAAATATAAAGTTTTTATTTGAAATATGTTTTGTAAAAAATATGTGAATCTTAAAAAATTTCTAAAAAGAATCTATCATAAAATATAGATTATTTCATAGGAATACTTTTTATTTTTATTTCAATAATTCATATCAATTAGTGTGCTAATTATTCCTAACTAATTATTAAAATCAGGTAGAATTAAATAAATAAAAATGAATAATGTCGTCCACAAACTAATAATTGATAAAAAAAACGCAAGTCAAAGTAAACAATTAAATTGAAGGTAAGTGCATGAATACTCAAAGAGTGTCTTTTTGTGTTAGGTAAAATATTTAACTAATTTCTATGTGGAAGACGAGACAGGTTAAAAAATAAGAAAAAGTTAAAAATAATTTTTCATTCATGTGTTTAAGAAAATAAACTAAATATTTTGTTGATGTGTTCCGGACTTTATTTAGTGTACTGTTCGTATAGTGTTTTTTTAACAAAAAAATAAAACAGTACACTATGATTGGTACTTTACAGTTTATTTTCGTTCACTGCTTAAAAATAAGTTCAGAAATAAAATACACCATCCTATGTTAGGAATCTTTAACCCGACTAACTTAACATAAAATTAGCTAATAAAACTGGAAAATAAAAATATATTAAATCAATTTAATCAAATTTTAGTTTAAAACGAATTTGTTTACAACTTTTTTCGTGGACATTTACTTTGTGGAGAGTATTTCAACAAATTATTAATAACAGCAACATTATCTAAATAATATTGTGATATATGACTGGAAAATTATGATGATCATATTATTTATTTATATTCACCTTTGTTCTTACTGAATTGAAAAAATACTACAGCAAATATATTTCCATAGGTATTGTTCTCAAGATCACTATAAAATACCCAAGTATAGTTTTAAATTTTCATTAATTTGAAGAAAATGAGACAGGAAAATATTACGAGACAGACTTTTTAATTTTGTTGAATTTTAATTGGATCTGTATATCTGTGTATATATGTTACATACTAATAGTTCAAATACAGACATTTTATTAGCTATAGCAATAATACTGTACTACACATAAATACATTTAAAAAATACAAAAAAAATTTGTATATATTAATTAACTCTTCTCACATTTAAATAACAATTATTATACTACTTATAGTTATTACAAATTGAGTTCATCATTTTAGATTTCAATATAGACACCCACTTGATGTGCAACCGTCGTTATGTTAAAGAAAAGTTCTAAAAACAACAAATAGAGAAAATATATTTTCTCAACTTTTATATACAAAATTAGTCGATGAGGCTAATTTATACGTTGTCTTCAATAGTTTGCACATAGTAGATTATTTGCACAAAAAAAGCTCAATCCCTTCTTATTCGACTTCCTCTCTTCATCTACAGCAAATTTGGTAAAAGTGGATACCAATTATTTGACAATAATATCGTCCAGTGTCATATCAAAATTACCACACATTTTGCAATTCGATCGTAGTTCAACACATAAAAATTATTATTTTATTCTCTAAATTATAGATTAAATATTATAGAATTAAAGATTTTGCGCAGCTTACCGTAGTCTTTTATTTAGGTGTTGCTAATTCTAAATATTGAATTAGAATATGTTTTTGTTTATTTTTCAATGAGATCGTTTTGATTTTTCTTCAAATTTTTTTTGGAATTTCAGTTAACTGCATCCTCCAGATTTTGCTTGGTTAACTCTGATTGAGTAATATATGATTGAGTTGTATATTTATTTATAAAAATTTTCATATTTGAAATCTTTTGAAAAGATTTGTTTTAAATAAATAAATTATTAATTGTGTCTTTCAATCAATACGTATTGTAATTAAAAATATCTATGAGGAAGTTCAAGGTTCACACTGGACTGTAGTGTCAAATAAGAAGAAGAATTAAAAATATCTAATATCTAATTTAATACTCTTGACTATCAAATATTTGAAATTTATATTTCAAATATTAATATTGATACTGATATTGATACATAATACTCAATAATTTATTGACTATCAGTTCATCTTCCTTTCCAGAAGGATAACAATCCTCTGATCTTGTGAATTTACTTTCGAAATCAGAGTAGTTTCTTTGCAAGCAAGCACTTCAGCTTGAAAGACAAAACACAAGTTCGCAATATAAAACCATCTTTCCTCGTCATTTTGAACTTGATAGATTTTAGCGTCCACTCCACATTCCTAATAAAGAATACAAACTTAAACTTATAATAAGTAAAACTTGTTAAAAGTTTTGTGAAAATAATGTTTTAAGGCTTTCGCAAAGTGAACTTTTATATTCGTTTTATTAGCATTTCATAATAAGGATATTTTTATATGTATATTAATAGAGCTAAGGACCTAGCAGTCCAGTTTCTTATTCTTAGTTGACTTTAAAATTAATTTTTATGTTAACTCACAAATAAATAAATATATGTATATAAATATATGTACATCTATGGAAAAAAAACATTACAATATTTTATTTAATTTAAACTTAACTTATTTATTTATTTATTTAACACCAGATATGAATATAATGTTATTTTAGGACGTGTGCGAGTTAGGCTAAGTTGATGCTAAACCAAATGGGAGATTTTTTGGGATTTTTTGCACTGCACACATTTTGCCATTTATCAACACGTATCGACACATCAAGACATTATCGACACAACTTAGAATTTCCCTCATTTAGAACGCAACTTAGCCTAACTCGCACACGACCTAAGTCCAACTTTGTAAAGACTAAGGAGGAGTAAGGATTTATTGTAAAAATAAAGTGTTCAGAGCAGTCATAATAAAAAGTATACTAAAGAAAAACACATTTGATTGATATACTCAATCCACTTATATAAATGTTTATAATATTTTTTTATTTGGAATTAGAATACAAACCGCTTCATTCGATTTGAAGATAGATACCAATTGACATAAACGTAAGCAATCCTGTTTTATAAAATGCAACTGTGGTGGTGCAATTGCTTTTATATGCCAAATTAAAAACGCCATTGAAAGCAAAGGAGCTTGTCGATGGTGAAGAACAGGAGTTATTCCTGAGAAGGATATAAGATTTCGTTATCATTGTTTTTGCTACAATGATTCGAACAATTGTGTTTGCATATATTGCCATAACTGCATTATGTTGGCAGTTTGAGTTAACAAGTTCACGTACCTCAACTCTATGGAAACTAGACAGCGGCAAAATAAAAACTGGACGAGAAGATTCCACAAGATATTTAGAAAGCAGTAATGATATTATTAGTAAACCATTTGCAAATGATATTTTTACAAGCACATACCCACATGATGAAATCTTTTACATAATTGCAACAACCCTAATTAATGACAACACCGGTTGGGTGCGCCTATCACCTGAAACAGGTCTAGAGTCGTTGATGACTTTAAAATCTCAAAATAAAAATATTAGAAACGATAGTCTACAAGCTGATAATAAGACTGCTTCAGTTACTGAAAGAGCACTAGAATTAGAGAAAATTTTAGACTGTGGCAAACCCGTAAATTTTACATATTATGATTATTTAAATGGTGTAGCACAACGACAGAATCATCCAACATCGCCAGAAGCAGAGGTAAGTATTTACTAATTTAATCGCTGAGATATTTTCTTTTGGTTCATTAAAAAATTTACTACTATATCAATATAGCTGCATTTAAAATTTTGATAAGAATATTTCTGATGATATGAAGTTACCGAGAGTGCATCATTCAATCTCAAATAATTGGCTATACAAAACAATATGGCACCATGAAGCGGCTGTATAGGCACAAGGAATAACGATGTAGGTTTTATTGATAAAAACAAGTTTGCCCATTCAATTCCAGCACTTAATAGACTAAAATGAAACAACAACAAAGATGAGTGTTTGGTAGATATACGGGTTTTCGCACACATAACGGATTATAAGTGCTTGAACTCACTAACTCGAGTTACCTAAAACACAAAACAGGAACAATTTTTTTCTAGTTAACAATAAAATTATAAACTATTTCTTAACGTTGTTAAGTTTGAATAGGTCTCTGTATATTGCACTTTTAACTTCCATTCCTTATGTTCGAAATATATACGTCCTTACTCTATTGCATCTTACTTAAATCTATCCATTCATTTTAGTTTTGTGCTTCTTCTACTTCCTGCATTTTGCCCCAAATAAAGCGTTTTATAGGTCGAATACATCGGATCAAATAAAATATCCTGCAAATCTAAGCTTATATATTTTATATATGCCAAAATATTGAAATCTCCATATAATCAGTTCCTGTTCATGATTTACTTTTCGCTTAAATTTATGCAGTTGCAATTCTCATTTGTCCTGTTTCAAATGGCGGTATCGTTTCTAAATGTTGGATATAGGATTATGAGAGCAGTATAGTAAGATTTTAGTTAAAAAAAAAATTTTACCTAAATACTATTAAACAATTATTGTAATCTAATTTTTATAATATAATTAATTATTTAGGTTGCTTATTTGTTTCTGAAATCGAAGGATGAAAATTCGTTTAAGAACTTCGATATCACCGTTTTAGAACGAAAACTGAAACGTGCCAAACGCGAAAAGCCACGCTCAGTTCAATTATATAATCAAATTGGCAACTACTGGCGGATTGTTGGTAATGCTCGTATAGCAATAGAATGTTTTCGTCGAGCTCTAGCAATGGCACCAAACAATTCAGAAGTGCTATTAAACTTAGCGCGATTATTATACAACTTACAGTATTTGGATGATGCTATACATTTAACAAGGAGGTAAAAATATTCATATACACACATTTACGTTACAAGTAATATTATTTCAATTTAGATCTTTAGATGTCAAACCACTTGATCAATCTGGTTGGGAACAATATTTTACGCTGGGTGAAATATTTAGGGCGTATGGACATTTCCAAGAATCGCTTTTACATTTTCGTCACGCCCTACAACTAAATCCTCACCATGAGCCTATACTTATAGCATTACGTGAAATAGAGAATCATCCTGATTTACAGCTAAATATATATACAGTTATAATAATAATCGCACTGGTATATGCTAAAATCTCAACCATTGCAAATATACATATATATATATATATATCTCATTATATACAGATTCTTGCAGTGCTTGCAGTTATCTTTTCTCCAGCTTTGTTTGGCGAAAGCTGCAATACACAACTTAGTAATGGAAACGAATATGAGCCAAAAACTCTTAGACATTTTAATCGCGCAATGGCAATGCGTTCGTTAAAGGGTCTACCATCCTCACGTAATATAAGATATAGAAGATCTTAGACGATGACACAAAAACAGAAATTTTTTAACCAACTCTATTTCAATATGTAGCCATATTTAAAAATTATATACATAACTATGTATTAATTAAATTTTGGTTTGTTAACCGTATTCATTTTCATATATGTATGTGGACAATTTTTAAATTAATTTATTTTAAATATGTATTTAAAGTACTTAAATATTCCGTTTCTGTGATGTTTTCAGTAATTTAGCAGGTATATATATTTATATATTAAAAATTTATATTTATTGTTAAAGTTAAACTTAGTTTTACCATTACTTTTAAAAACATAAGTTTCAAAATTTTACAATAATTTTAAAAATCAAAATTTTATATATTAGTTTTCTTATCTATTATGATAAAAAAATAGAAAAACATTCCAAATGTATGTAATATGTAAATTAAATATAATTTAGTTTGAATAAATTACATTTCAGTCATAATATAAAATAAGTGTATATTTAATTTATGCAAAACTAAATCTTTCAAAAATAATTTTGCAAATGTGGTTGTGAATTTTTTTTTTTTTGCATCGAATTTATTTGCTTTCGTTTACTGTATATCTATCACTAAACTTATAGTTAAAAAAAAATCCATACAGATGGATAACATTTTGTTCAACTAATATTCATAGATTTGTATTTTCGACTTTTATGAAAAAATAGTATATTAGTTTTAAAAATATTAAACAGAACGTGTGATATGTATAGCGTAAAGTGGTTGCCTTAAAGTACGAGTAGGAACCTTTTTTGATTTTTAAAAATATCGTTACAGATAAATAATAAAACTTCACTAAAATAAAGCACACTAACAAGTATATGCAAACTATACAGAATATTTTAATCTGTTTACAGAAACTCAGAAGGTAAGGCTCCCCTTGTTAAACTTAGAACGGTTGTCTTGAATTCTAGTTTTCCCAAAAGCATTACGGATATATTTTTTTAATGTGATTAAAAACAAATTTGACTAATATTTTCATTACATCTAAATAGACTTTGAGGACTAAAATGATCGAGTTATAGATACACCCGTAAAATGGTAATGCAAAACCTATTATAATTATTATTTAAAATCAAAAGGGATGTACGTCTTTTTAAATTTGTATGCAAAATTATATAAAAAATGATTTTTCTGGTGCTACCAGAAAATAATGTTTCCACTTATTAAAAATAACACTTCTTTTAGCCAAGTTTTAATAATCTGTGGAAACTCTCCTCATTTTCCTTTCAAGTTAACCTAAAAAGTTTTATGTTTACGTATTTATAGTTATAATTTATCAAATAAGACATTTTAAATACAATTAAGTGAACAATAAAATTTTAATTATAAATCGCAAATTACATATGATTTTTTATATGTATATAAAATTATATAAAATAATAAGTTAAGTGAAATAAAAAGCATCATTATGATCAGTTAATATTTTTATTATTGTTATTTTCACTTATTATATGTTTAAGCTGTGTTGTGAATATTTAAACGGAAAATATCATGTGCGCAAAAGTAAGTTCCTCCTAGTGGTTTTAATATGAACACCTGTGAATAAGCATGTGGAGGATCCTCATCACACTAAAAAGATAAACCATTTAAAAATTAATTCTTATGTTATTTAATAAATAAATATATATATATATATACATAATTAACTCGATGCCTCAGATACCTAAATTGAAATTTAGCTATTAGTATTAGCAATGAATTATAATGACTAAATGCATACATGCTGATTATTTACTCAGAAATAGTGATTTATATGATGTTTGAAAAATTTATCATTTATATACATATTAATTAAAAAATCAACTTTTAAATAAATATTAAGCTATAGCATATATTTAAAATACGCATTAATAGATGTTATATTTGTAAAAATAAATATTAAAAACTTAATTTACTTTTATTCTTTTTATAAAAAAAATAATAAAACGGAATAAACGAGTTTGTCAACTAAGTTTAAGATTAATTATGGAATAATCGTGCAATTCTCCTAAAATTTGTTAGTCTTATTTTAAATATTCAAATAACAAAAACTACGTACGAACTACTTCCTTTACTTCGATTGCACATTACTTTGATATTTTCAGAATACATTATTAATATTTAAAATTTATTTTCGAGTTCCTATTGCATTTTCTTTTACCCTGAAATTTGTTTTAAAACAAACTAAAGATTTTGTTATACGTCATGTAATGATAATCTGAAAATATCATGTTGTACGAAGAAGCTTGCGCCAATTGGTTTAAGGACAAACGTTTGTATATATGCATGTGGCTGATCCTCATCGGTCTGATGAATCAGTGAGCAGCATTTTAATTCAAAGTAAAATAAAAAATATATAATGTATACATAATAGAAAAATTTCACGTATTATTATTAATACATATATAAAACATAAAAATTAAAATTACCTGTAGGCGTCCTAAAACATTAATAAGCACACCGCCATCAAAAGTGGGTTGGGAGTCTACAGCTGTTATAACTCTAGTAATTTTTTGAAACGTCAAACTCTATTAAAAAGAATATAATTATTTTTTTTTAATTTATAAATATGTAATTAGCCTTACAGATAGTTTTTCCATAATTTTAGGAGCTCCTTGAATTTGAACACCCTCAAAAGTCATAAATGAATCAGTTGCCTAGGGGAAAATGTATAGAAATTATGATTAACTTTAATATACAAAAAATTCAAGCAGAAGGGCGCGGTGTTATTTACTTAACATTTAACAGAATAAGCTTCCAAAATCTTTGCGACAAATATAAGATATTCGAAACTGATTTTATTTATAAATTTGCAAAAACTTGAAGAGTTGTTTAACTTATTTATGTTATAAAATTAATTAAAGAACACTCAGCATACTCACGCTATAAAAATTCACTACATTTGCACGTTGCACCGGGTCGTCAAATAAAGCGTAGTACTGTTGGACGAAACCTTTTCCTATGTCATCATATTGTGGGTTCAACGCCATTGTAAATTATATTTAAAAATGTTAAAATTTAAATTAAAATAAAAAAATGTTCAGAAAAAATGCAAATTCCGACAAACATATACTTCGTCTCAACGCGGCGCTTTAGCGAATTCGGTGGCAGTGTTGCAAAATGATAAGTTCAGTCAAAGTTGCAACTTGAAATATTCACAATTTAATAAAATTTCAAACATAGATTAATGTGGTAGTATACATCATTTAAATGTATTAATGAGGTTCTCTACAATCTTTATATAATATAAGAAATTTGTGCTAAAATGGTAAAGTGTGAAATATGTGCCAATTAATTTGCAGAAAATAAAAAAAGATATTTAACATTTTAGCATGAGTTAAACATGCAATAAAAAAATTGTTTAAATAATTATTATAATTACATTTCATCATATGAACATCATTTTGCAATTAACAATAATAGCAAAATTGAAAACATATATATACACTACAACTCAAATAACGAAAATAATAAGCTTGTGGACACTAATATTCTATTGTTATTCTATAAAATTATAACAAAACGGATACAGTGAAAAACTATGAAGTTGTAAAAATCCAATGTGCAACGCACAATGTTGTGACATACTAGATCACACATATCGCTTCAGACAGTTAATTAATAAATATTTCAACTCATAAAAGTGTTTTCACAAATACATATTACATAAACACATATTTTACTTTAGCTGTACGAATTATATTATGAAGTTTTAATATTTAAACTACAATTGTATGCTACATGTGATATAATTGTGCAGTGACTAAAATAATGTTTATTAAATATTCCTGTACGATAGAGTTTGTCATATATTGCAGCATTTTGTAAACAAAAATAATATCCGCTCATATCAAAGATCTTTTATAATTTTACAAGAAATCGTAATAGCGAAGTTTATTATCTTGATTATACTTAAAATTATCCATATTTGTATGGATTTTGCTTTCTGTTATAAACGTACTTTATAAAAACTAACTGAATATAATACAATTATATTGAACCTATATAATTCCCTCCATTAAATTAAATAGAACACATATTTTTGTTTATCCTTACCTTGTTCACATTTAGTTGTGGTTTTCGCAGTTTCATATAATTGCTTATTGTGAATGGAGTTAGTTTAATTGCGGCGAATAACATCACCCTTTAAAAAGCAGACCGATATTAGTGAAATAGTTATTTATAATAAATTTTAAATTCAAAAAAAGTTTAATAGCCATTAAAATGCTTAAAAGTGATTACTTTTATCGCAATGAATAAAAAATTAATATAATATTCGCCGTGGGGTCAAAAACAAAATTAATTTGCCTTTAGCGGGTTAAATACAAAACAATGAATACATTTTCACTGTGGAAAGGCTATTAAGTTACTTTAAAAATAATAACTATAGTAATCCTAATGCACGCAAAATTATGGAACAAATAAAACTTCCAGATGGCTTTCGAATATTTGAGACACAGGTAGCGGGGCATACATTTCAAAATGCAGAACCAGAAAAACTTGGTATGATAAAGGACGAGAGAACAGGTTGTGTTTTGAAACCATCAGGAAAGCCAGAATGCGGAGAAAGAGAATTTAGTTTCTATAATGCACTACAAAATACAGAGGATCCAGTATTATTACAAGCAAAATCATTGGTACCAAAATTCTATTCTAAGGTAGAACTTTTGATAAACCAACGGAAATGCACATTTTTTAAATTAGAAGATCTTACACACAATTTGTCAAAACCATGTATTATGGATATAAAGATTGGCAAAAGAACATGGGATCCTCTTGCTACAGCACAAAAAAGAGAATATGAAGAACAAAAATATATTAAATGCAAGCAAACACTTGGTCTGTGTTTGCCCGGATTCCAATTATATACACCAAATAGCGATAAAGTATTACGATATGGCAGAGAACATGGAAGGAATATAGATTCAAATGAGTTTCGTGCTTCTATAGCATTGTTTTTAAATGCACAGCATACAGTTTGTATACCACTAGTCCAAGAGATTCTCAATCAGCTAAAAGTTATACGAAAATGGTTTCAAATACAGAGATTTTACAATTTCTATGCAAGTTCCTTGTTAATTGTGTATGATTTCGATTTGCTGCAGAAACTTTGCTTGAAACATGATCACAACTGTAAAATCATAAACGGAAATGCGCAAATGGGGAACTCGGGTAATTTAATAGAGAATGTTACACCTGATTTAAAAAAATGGGTTAAAGTAAGGATGATTGATTTTGCTCATGTATTCCCAACAGAGCAAGTTTCTTTAGACACAAACTACATATTTGGTTTACAAAATTTAATAGCTGTGATCCAAGATTTATTAAAACAGAAATAATACATTCGTAATGGCATGTATCCATTTTTATAATTATTTTGTAGAACAAAAATATAAAATTAAAAACGTGTATAAATTGAACAAAAATCAATTCTTATTTTATTTGCAATTTATATTTTGATAGCAACACATTGAGCTAGCACGTAGAACTGTAATGGTAACGATTCACTTCGGATCACCGTAAAAACGATAGTTCTTTACAAAAGGTATGAGAAGCTTTATCTTAATCTTTGCGCATCTTCAAACACGTGCAAAATATATTTTTAAGTTACATTTAATTTTTTAGGTAAATAAATTTTAAAAAAAGACAATTTTATTTTTCCGCGGGGCTTCATTGCTGGTTAAGTTTGCACTACTAGTGCAACTAAACTACTTTACATGAATTTACTTTTTTATAATTTATATTTGTCTTGCATCTTATGTTGAAATTAAGAAATAGTTTGTCATTTTGATAATTTATTTGAAAACATTTGTATTATATTCGTAATACATATATTTTCTTTTACAAAGTATAGTCTAGTTCATAGCGCTCATACTGATTTTTTGGATCATTTGTTATACGCGGATACCCAGCAATTAACGCATCTTGTCCACCAATATAAAGGGAGTTATATATTTTCCAATAAACATCCCGTACTTTGCGTGCTGGATGAAATAATCCTTGAAGTGAATATTGTAGAATTTTTATTGGACCCAGGGAAACGCGTAAACCATCCACAGCATCCATAAACGCTTGTACTAAATGTGGAGAGGTTTCAAATATATTTGGCCATACATAATTAAGCAAATGAATGAGAGCATCCTCGCAACCAAAACCATAAACACCCAAAGACATATGTTTTATAGCTGCACAAGCTGTTTGTCGATGTACTAAATCTCTATCCATTAATGCATCCTCTAATAGTGGGCAAACGGCATATATATAATCTTTTCCCATTTCTCCAATGTATTGAAATAAAAATGAAAGTGATTTCAATACACCATTTTGAACATTTAATTCTGGAACACGATATTCGTTCATTAACGCTGGTAATACGGTAAATGGTCGACAAGTTTCAGCAACAATAGCAATGGCAACAGTTGTACAAACGCGATTCTGTCTTTCTTGTACTTTCAGATTGTTTAAAAGTGTAGCCAATACATCATGTGGACCAATAGCTTTTGCTATGTAACCAAACGTATTAACTGTAGCTCGCCGTATAGCCTTCTTATGTGCTTTTACTAGCTCCAGCAATTCAAAACATATACGCATCCATTCACGTGCAGATACATATTCTGGACCACGATCAGCAATACGGCCAACAAGATCGATACAATTTTCTTGCACTTTTTCATGACGATTTTTAAGAATTGGTGTGAGACGAGGTAACAAATCTTTAATTGGTGGTGTCATTTTAATCATCCCAATAACATTAACTATTGCTTTTAATGCACCTAAAATGCTTCCTAAGACCTCTGGGTACTCTTCACCTAAATATTCATATAATACTACGCCTAAATGGCCCATCAGTTTCTCCTCTTGGCATGTTTTCATGACCACAGCAATTCTGGATATCAAATCAGCTGCTTGTTGACGGACTTTTGCGGATTTATTATTTAAACGCCAAAGAATAGTACCACATATCTGTGGCAAGTACGGTTTAACGCGTTTTCCCAACTGAATTACAATTGTACCAAAACCATTCAGCATAACAACATCTTCAGTAGTTTGTTCTTGGAAAGCATATAAAATTCCATCGATAAGCTGTTCTTCCAATCTTGAATCAATATCAGCTGCACCTAGATTACCCATTATTTTTTCAATAGTTTCCATAACCATTTTTCTATATTGTTCATTTTCATCCTTTAAATCATCTACTACACGATTAATAATTTCTGAAGCACCTACTTTGTTCGCAATTTCAACAGTCGTATCTACTAATTGCCGATAATTTCTACGGTCAAGTGCCATACGATGATTCCAAAAGAATTTGAAAAAGTGAGGTAATATTTCCTCTTTTATATATTGCGCCTCAACACCATCTGTAGCACAACATTGTTTTACTACTTTCAATACAATCTTTTTCATTTCTTCATCAGGTGACTGAAATTCACGGATAAGAATCAACATTACTTCACGTGTGTAGTAATTTGCATATTCTGCATCCATCAATGGTATCAAATAACCAATAGCCTTTAAAAACGCCGCCAAACCTTTACCGCGATGTGTACGTATACCTTTCCACAACGGTTTTAAAACGGAATCAAATGACTCAATACCGTATGGGGTTGCTGCTTCAGCCAAGGCAGCAATAGCCAGAGCAGTGATTGTACGTACCTTCTGTTGTTCATCAACTAATCCATGCTCGATGATTTCGACAAGTGCCTTCAAATGTGGTAAAATTGCGCAGCCCATCAATATAGCTATTTGCTGTACAATCTTGATACCTGTGTGACGAGCTTGCCATGATTTTTTAGATTTACAAACTGCTTTTAAGAACGGCAACAACGATGGGATACCTAATGCCGATGCAACAACAGCAAATGCTCGTGCTGTAGTATTACGCACATATTCATCAATATTGTCTATATCTGGACGCATAGTTGAAATCATAGTAGCTAATCCTGCAGCTTTTGCCAAATTTGAAATGATTTCACGACCTTCAACTCTAGCGTAATAATCTTCGTCAATAAGTAAAGGTTCAATAACGACAAGAATTTTGTGTACATATGGACGCACCAAATCGTCTAACTTATAGAGTACTCTGTCAATAACCTTAACCAATAAATGACGCTCCTGATCTTCTAATGTTGGAGACATAAGTAATGGTAAAATTTGATTAAATAAGGGACCAGCTCCAAATTCACGTGCTTTATCAGTAATTTGGCGTAAAGCGGATTTCCTCATTGGCGGAGAACCATTCTTTATGGTTAATAACAATTTCATGATTTTACGTTCTTTTAATTCCTCTGGTGACAATGTATCTTCATCTACATCCACAAGTAATTTATCAAAATATTGTGCATCTTCAGGCTTCATAAATGGCAAATTTTGACCTTTAGGTTGATTATCCATAAATTTAGCATTTTTATCTTCAACTTGAATGAAAAATCCGGCAGGTGTGCCTGCTATAGGAGTTGGCGTAGCCATAAGTTTACGTCCTGGAGTTCGAAGTGGAACATAGCCGACAGGAGGAGGAAGAATTTTATAGCCAGGTGGAAACATTTGATCAAGTTCTTCATCTGTAAATGGTCTGTTACGTTCATCAATTTCCTTTTCCCAACGATATGCTTGCAGTTGCTCTGGTGTCATTGCGGCTAAAGCACCAGGTGTTGGTGTTGCCATTGCCATTGCTTTTACTCCTATTGGAGTAGTGCCACCGGGAGTTAACATTGGAGTAACATGACCTGGAGTAGCGTGTGGAGTCATACTTGGTGTTAAACTGGGGGTCATAGCCGATGGTGTCATTGAAGGAGTTGCATTTGATGGCGTTTCATCCCAGCGAGATCTGCGCTTCGATGCCCCAGGCGTTGATTCAACAACAATATTATCGCTAATACTGCGGTCAGGTTTTGGAGTTTCTGCCCAACCGCTGTGACCTGGAGTTTCACGTTCTGTCTTTGGTGTTTCATCCCATCGATTTCGACGAGCTGATTTTTCATGACCTGGAGTCTCGTGTCCTGGTGTCATAGCATGCGCTGGTGTGGCATCCCATATTCTAGTTCCTAGCCCGGGAGTAGCACCAGGAGTTTCACTACCTTTATGGCCAGGTGTTTCATCCCATCTATGATCTGCAGGAGTTTTCTAAAATAGTTTTAAATACGAATGATAATTATGAATATGCATATATTTTAAAAACACTTACATCCTCCCAAGTCGGTGTTGCGGCACTACTAGGAGTAGCAGCGACTTTAGCGGGTACGAAGCTATCACTAACAGTTTGATCCCATCGACCACGTTTGCGTGTACCTTCTCTTGCCATATCAGCACTAGAAGATTTCACAAGAGAGCCATCCTTAGATTTTTCTATTATTTTTCGACGTAACTGCAAGACAAGAAACTATAGAATAGAGTATTTCTTTAATTAATACAATTACATACCTCACTCTCTTCACCTTTTAGCATTTGTTCTCGCATGATATCAGTATATGTGCGTGTACCAATGTCAGGTGTTTTTCCACCTACAATAAATTTTTAATTATATCAAATATTATATGTATTATAAAACTTACCATCTGCAAACGGATCGGCACGTTCTGGTGAAATAATAATCCGACGTCTCTTTTGCTTATATTCATCCTCTCGATCGGCAATGGTTGGACGCCGGCGATCAGCTAACGGATCTACATCTTCACTACCCTAAAAAAAATTTAACCAATATTATGTAAAATTGTGATTTTAATGATAATAAAGAGCTTACTTGAGTAACGTCTTTTAAAATCGAATTAGGTGCTGTATAAGTTACACGCTTCTGAGGAACTGGAAATCCCTCATCCTCGTCTTCATCAATTTCATCGTTTGCCGCAATCGAAGTGTTATAGCCTTCATATCGGCTTTTGCCCTTACCACCTGATTCATCGTATAAATCAGTATCGAAAAAACCACCACTGTCTAATAAACCGACACCGCTATTAGAAGTTTTCTGAATTTCCTTTTTTTTTGTTTGAATATCTGCTATTTGTGCATCAATATCTAAAAAGAAATCAATTAAAGTATTGTTAGAAATGCAAACATGCTCATAAGAAATTAAAAATTGTGTGCAAACTGAAATATGTTTGTAATGCACGATCTTGTTACCACTTCTTATAAATAATTATTATAAAAACATATATTACCTTCATGAGTTAGAGGTATATTTTCCATTTTTATTATTAAATTTAATAACAAAACTTCCGACCAAAAATCTCGCAGAATATATCAGTGATGCCACATTTTGAAAATATTATTTTGAATTTAGAACTACCATATTTTAACAAATATTAATCAATATAGAAAAACTATCTATAAGGGCCATGTTATGCAGAGTGTCTCGGGCACGGCAAATTACGCTCTTTCAGGCTATGCCGAAAATGCATGTTATGCAGAGTGTCACATCAGTATTGCCAATTTTGTATTTTTACTACTTCTTGGTTGTGCCTAAATTTTAAAGGAAATTTAGATATGCTCACTTTCAATTTGCCACCAAAAATAACTCGTATGAAAAAACTCATAGAAGCTGTAATAATGTTAATTTATTATTATATTATCTTATAATAATTGTTAATAGTTCTCACGCGTTTTTTTAAAATCGGAAAGTGTAATAATTATATTATTAGCGATTTATAAAAAATCGCTGCTGTGTTGCTTACTGCCATTTTTCTCCAAAACGTACTAGAATTGTAGTAATTTGCTCCTAAAAGGCGCAAATTTTGAAATTTATTACTAAACAACACTGTTTTGCCTTAGTGCCACGGCACAAATACGCCGGCTCTCATGCCGGAGTTTGAACGGCCATATTGTTTTTTCTCTCATTCTCAAATTTAAAATTTGCATTGAAAACAACAACAATTGTACTCATGCCGTGCCCGAGACATAACATGGCCCTAAGAAGTGAATTCATAACTGCATTAATGTATACAAGAGTTTCCATAGAGTTACTAATATTACTAATATATTAATATTTAAAAATATGTGATAATACCTTTTATAATTCTCTCAACTAAAAAAAAAACTATATCATAATTCATAAATAAACAAAATTAGCATCATATATTTGACCATTAAATTATCTTTTGACTTAAGTAATTTTTATTACCAGACTTCAAAAGCATTTATTTTTCAGACTGTAGAAATTTAAATATAATTTAGTAAATATTAATTTATATAATCTTAATAATTCGAGAATATATTTTTCTTTCAGATTGAGCAAAGAATAATAGCATATTAAACGATAAATTTAACAAACAAGTACTTATTTGATTATTAGAATATGGCAACACTGATACCGGTATCAATGAATATTTTTCATTATCTTGTAGGAAGCGTAGGTTAAAATGTGGAAATACTTTGTTTTAATATTCTTATTATTTAAGAATAGTAATGCTATTTTAAGCTCTGATGGAGATACTTTAGTCTTACTAGATAATTTAGCGATTCGCGAAACACATTCAATATTTTTCAAATCACTGCAGGGTAAATTATATCGATACGCCTTCAATGACGTGGAAAAATTTAACTAAAGTTTATATTTTCAGATCGTGGTTTTAAGTTAACATACAAATTAGCTGATGATTCTGGACTTTTACTTTCTCGGTATGGAGAATATCTTTATAAGAACTTAATCATTTTTGCTCCAAATGTTGAAGAATTTGGTGGCGATATTAATGTAGAAAAGCTTACTGAATTTATTGATGATGGCGGCAATGTACTCGCAGCAGGTAGTGAGCAATCTGGTGACGCACTACGAGAATTTGCAGCTGAATGTGGATTTGAATTGGATGATGAAGGTGCTTTAGTTATCGATCATCTAAACTATGATATATCTGATGATGGTGATCATACTACAATCGTAACTTCTGCGAAAAATCTCATTAATTCACCATATATTGTTGGAAGCAACTCTAATGACAAGCAATCACTACCATTACTTTATCATGGTACTGGGCTACTCGCCGACAAAGAAAATCCTCTAGTTTTACAGTTATTGACTGCTGAAAACACTGCTTATAGTTATAAACCCGAAAAACCTATTAAGGAGTACCCCCATGCAATTGGAAAAGGTACACTATTGATAGCAGCTTTACAAGCACGTAATAACGCTCGAGTCGTATTTTCGGGATCATTACATTTCTTCTCCGACAAAGCTTTTACCTCAGCTGTACAAAATGTGCGAACAGATAGTTCTAGCAAGCAATCAGGAAATCAAGATGTGGCTATATCTATTAGTAAATGGGTATTTGGTGAAGTTGGACGGCTACGAGTAACATCTGTAGCTCATCATAAAGAAGGCGAACAACAACCTCCAGAACAAGCTTATACAATCACAGATCCTGTTGTTTATACAATAACTATTGAAGAGTTGGTATTGGACAAATGGCAGCCATTCAAAGCTAACGACGTACAATTAGAATTTGTTCGTATTGATCCTTTTGTTCGAACGAATTTAAAACAAGTTAATGGTGGTCGTTATGAGGCTAAATTTAAGATTCCCGATGTATATGGTGTTTATCAATTTAAAGTTAATTATGATCGTGTTGGCTTTACTCATCTATACAATACCACACAGGTATCAGTACGGCCATTAGAACATACGCAATATGAGCGCTTTATACCAAGTGCTTTCCCTTACTATACTAGCGCTTTTTCAATGATGATAGGAGTGTTCATCTTCTCATTTGTCTTTTTGCATTTCAAAGAAGACAATGTTGTTTCTAAAGAGAAGGGAAATGAAAAGAAATCACAGTAATTTAATGTAATTATGTTACATACAATATAAAGTTCTACACAAGAAAACTTCAACATACATTTAAGAACCACTGTAACTTTTTAATTAATAAAACAAGTTTTTCCATATGCCAACATATTTATTTTTCATTCATATTTTTATCACGAGAAAAGCGCAAAGCAGAGTAAAATTTTTTTACATTGATGTATATGTCATTAAATGGCGTGAAACTACTACTCTATCAAATATATAGAATGCAAAAGGAAAAAATTAGAATTGTGAATAAATTTTAAAGCTATGAACATAAATGTTTAATAATATTGACAGGTTTGTGCGAAATTATAAAACTATTCGAAAGGTCTTGTAATGTTTGAAATAATAATTGCTTTACAGAAGCGGTCTTGGCAAATTTTATTTTAAACTTTGTCACTAAAAACATACAAAATTTATTTATTTATTTTTTTTTTTTGGTACAAATCTATTTTGTTTTTTTTTCAAGAACTTTCATTATTAATATAGAATATACAAATTGATGTAAAATAATGTACTTTTAATTTCCACAGAAATGCAAATATTTTATATGAAGGTATTACAATAGTTAGGAGTTTTATGAATAATTTAATTGAAAAGTTTGTTCTTTAAATTGTTATTCGATTTAAGAGCAACAACTTTTGTAAGCAGGATTTTTTTCATTGCTTCGACGATCCACTACGACACGTTCAGGATTTTCTGCTGCTTCTCTTCCAGATGTTTTATCCAAAATCGCTTCGGCAAGTTCGCAAAATGCGCGTTCTATGTTTATATTTGACTTAGCGGAAGTTTCCATAAAACGTATACCATGTTCACGGGCAATCTGTATTTTGTAACAAATATTTTTAAAAGGTTGAATTAATATTTTTTTACAAATAACTTACAGCTTCACCACGTTCTTTTGTGACAACGCGCTTATCTGTCATATCGCATTTATTGCCTAATATCATTTTTTCAACGTCTTCATTCGCATGCTGAAGCAGAAAACAATAAATCAATTTTACATCATTAGATCAATACTTACCTCATCTATGTTCCGAAGCCATTTCACTATATTTTCAAAACTTTTTTCGTTTGTTATGTCATATACTAGCATTATACCCATCGCTCCACGATAGTATGATGTTGTTATTGTGTGAAAACGTTCTTGGCCGGCAGTATCCCATATTTGTAATTTTATTTTCTTTCCTCTTAATTCGACTGTTTTAATTTTAAAGTCAATTCCTAAAAAATAATGATAGTGTTATTTAAAAAATAAGTTTTGCTTGTTTTTCTAGTATATACGAAAAATTAAAAGTTTATGTAATATTTTGTATTTTTTTGTTTTATATTTAATTATAACATTATACTTAATTGCGAAGTGATAATTATATTTATGTTCGACCATTTTAAACGCACTGTGCACAACTTATAAACCGTTTTTAAATTATGTTATAAGATTCAAAATTTTAGTTAATGAATCTACGAATTAAGTATTAAAATAGCCACGCCCATGTAAATTTTCGAATTACACTCAATATTTGCTTATTATTGAGTATTGTGAATTAAATATAATGTAACATTTACATACCAATTGTGGATATAAAAGTTGAGGTGAATGCATCATCAGAAAAGCGGAATAAGATACAAGTTTTTCCAACGCCCGAATCTCCAATAAGCAACAGTTTAAAAAGCAAATCGTAAGTCTTCTTGGCCATTTTTACGAAGTTGACGTTCGTGTATTTTGTAATTTGTTTAAACTAATAAATGTAATTTTAAAATAAATCAATATTTATATCTCGAATTAATAACTACTTTTCACAATTGCAACAAAAAAAATGTAGATGATAATTCCTTATATTTTTTTAATTCCTCTTTGTTCTTAATGTCAATTGTCAGACAAATTGGTGACATTAAGTTAGTTGCGATTTCATAAAATCATATTCATACAATGCTATTAGTATTACAATTTTTTACCACTTAAATTCAACATATAAAAATAATTAACCGTTTTAAGTTAATCATTTTTTAAATTTATTGGAAAAATATGAATATAGAGACATGTATAGTTAAAGTGTTCCATTAATATAGATAGTATTGTTAAAATGTTCGACATATATAATTTATGAAATAGTCAGCACATTTCAATTGGCCGTATAATGTAGATAGTGATGGTTAGGTCAAATATAATTTTGTTGCTGTATTCAATTTTACAGTCATAACTGTCGTGAAATCGCTTAACAGCCGTTATTGCTGCCAGAAGAGTCCTATTGTACCAAAACTTTACTGACTTACTTCATCCTTCCAATTCTGATACTTACGCCACGACTGTAAAATCGTTCTAATAATTTCTGGATTATTGGAGGGTTTCAACTTCTTGTCACGTTAGTCAAAATAAATATATGTTTTGTTTACATTCCTTTATGGTCATGACGAGAAAGAGCATACAATTTTTGTGACAATTTTCTATGTGATTGTGAGCATAATATGAGTATAATATTGTTATCTTTAAAAAAAATATATTTATGGTTTTTTTAGAATGTAAACAAAATGACAAATCTGCAATTAATCCAAATGCGAGGTTAAACATATATTTTGGTTGTTCGGTCAGTTTTATATCATTACACATCTCTATTTCTTTTAATTGTCTAATGATGGCATCACTTAGAAATGTCAAAATAAAAATAATGAAACTGGCAGCACTTTGGTTTTAGCTTTCTGCCTCAGTTGTATGTGTGTCAAAGAATTAGAAATAAAAAAATATCCAATGAAATCCGGAAAAAGTGAGAAGGTTTAAGCGAATTTGCGAATTTTTCTATATGTGCAAAACAATATAGGCTCTGATTAAAATTTGCCAACCACACAACCGCCCATGATGTGAATATACTAAAGATATATAAAAAAAGTAGAATTTGGTTCCGCCCCGCGCCCCAAAAAATTTACATTGTCTTATTACTATTCAATAATAACTGGCGTGCCTTTATTTATAATTATTTGGTTCAAAAATTTAATATATAAATAAAAATAATTATCTAAAATTACATCTGCATGCGTTGTTAGCCGGTATATATGTGTGTATATTTTTACATAGTGTTTTATGTATAAAAAAATTATTTGATGCCCCCCGTACTTTATATGTAACCACCTAAACAGTTTCTTATCCCTATAAGGAATTAAAAATTAATCACACACATTTGTTATTGATCGTATAAGGGTAAGATATTTTTTTTTGATTAAATTTAATATTATAAATTTTTATTCAAAAAATATTTACACTATCTAATACGTGATTATATATCTTTAGCATTCAAATTAAATCATCATTCTAAAATAATACTCGTAAAATGGATAGTAGTAGCACTGTAGGAAGACGTCGGGGTAGCGCTAAAGTTAATGCTGAGGACCAGGCATTGGATCAAATAGCAAAAGAGGTAAATCTTAATATAAGTGCATACTTTCAAAAACATTAAATTTGAAATTTTGAATAATTTGAATTTTAATAACAATTGTATGAGTCAAATTATTGCTAAAAATATTAATATTAATTTACTTACTAATTGTATATTGTAATATAATGTTTGTCAAAATTTTAAATCTGGTGTCACAACTTCATTTACAAACTTTAAGTAATGTGTAGTATATGCAAAATTTCTTTTAATTTTTTACTTTCACTACCTCGAGATTCAAATTTTTGCAATAATAGCCACTGATGTCTTTAGAACTTTTAATTCGTTTGTTATGATCTTCAAATTATTTATATTTCAAGATAATTTCCAAATTATAATGACAAACCAAGTTGATTTCACTTAATAACTACGATTAGTCATTGGACATATCTATTTATAAATAATTGATAAACTCTCACCTTGATAAAACCGATTTAAATGATATATTTATTCTTAAATTTTGTATTAAATTTACGAACTACCAATAAACGTACTTGATGGCAATGCATTTAAAACTATTTAAAAATGTTGAACTTTAAATAAAATTCCCAAAACAAACAATCGCACACTTATCAATTTTGCAAAAAAAATTATCTATAAGTTGAGAATATTGTAATCAAGCTAAAATGGTATGCGAGCTGTATTCCCCTAATAGGAAATACTTTTGTCACTATAATATGAAATAGGTTGATTCAGTAGTATAGATTAATTTAATACTAAGAATTAAAAAAAGTGTATTCTTATTAGTTATTTGATTAATATAATAAATTGTTTTATGTTAATACATTGTTTTATGTTAGTAAATACATTTTTATACTTAAGCTAACAACCTTAAAACTACAAATACATTTGTGGCATAGTAAATTTATTTCTTAACCAATATTCATATACTTGAATACCATATTGATATGGATATCCACGCAGTTTCTATTGAATTGACTATACACATAGGCTATTTCTAATTAGCAGACTGAAAAAAGAAAACCCATAGAAAAGCTCCAAGAACGGCCGGGTCTACGTCCCGGAACCACTAGTACCTATCGACGACTAAGCGCCGTTCGACACTTAACAAAACCTCAACGTATGGTAAACTCTTTTACAGTCACATAAGAACAAAACTACTAATTGGTTTTGATTGATGTTCGCTGTCAAATGCAATAGTTGTACGAATAGTACACTATTTAAGCGGTTGAAATGCTTAACGAATAAAAACAACAAAGTAGAAAATCTTGTTCATCTATTCTGTCGTTGCCACAAGCTCGTAAGAAAGCATCAGTGTTCTAAAGACTTTCACTTCAGTGGATATTTATTGGATATACCCAATATGTGCATTAAGATATTGTCTGTATTGTCAATAATGTCAGTGGTTATGGATATCTCAATCCAAAATTTCTTGCAATCACCTATCCGTGATCATAGGTGCTTTCTATAGTAATACAATGAGCTCTATACTTATAGCTTAAATGGTTGTCTATTATGTAGAAAGATGCACTTCCTCAGACGCATCGGTAGTGGCATCTATAATTTATGTATAGTTGTCTATTATGTAGAAAGATGGACTTCCTCAGACTCATCGGTAGTGACATCTATAATTTATATATAAAAATAAAGTTGACTAAAAATTTCAATACGATAAAATAATATAGAAAAAATATATAAATTTCAAAATTTAAAAAAAA